TTATTTCGGTTATTACAAAAAAAACTTAACAGTACAAACAGCGCGTAGCTGACAGACCATGGACACGATGATAAATTGTAGAGATTAAGGGAAAGGCGATGGTATATTATGGACGTCGACAAAGTCAGTGGCATATTGTTGAACCGTGCCCCTAACTAAGTGGTACTAAATAGATTCTCTCTTTTTTCTGTTAAAAGCCACTCTGATCAGTAAAATACTCCTTGTTTCTTTCTTGAGTGCCTTTAGTCGTAGAGCAAAGAGCGAGCTCTTTTCTTGCCCCTATATATCTCTATCCCTTCGTTGTTGGTAGCTACTACTCACTCTTTTCTTTTCTTCTACAGTTCCACTGTTGCTGGCGAGCTCTCCTTGAACTCACTGGTTGGCAGGGAGCTATTTCCAAGCTCGTCGGTTGCCGGGAGTGAGATATGCGTTCCGATGAGCATGTATATTCATGTTGTGTGACCCGATAAGATCGATTTATCAAGTGCATACATAACACATACTAACCCCTTCCTAATCAAGTTCCTACTATATGTACATCAATACATATATGAGAGTCCAAGATTTTCTTTATTAAAATGACACATTGGCATATTATAGATTCTTTCCGGCCATTTTATAATTGATTTAATTGTTATTAATGTTCAGTTCGAATCTTTGACCAACAGTATATATATAGTGTGAACGTATTAAATTTTATGCAATTAATATAATCAATGTTGATTATATTTCTAGTACTATAGTATCGAATTGTTATTTCTGAAAAAAGAACTCTTCGGATAATATTTATTTTTAATCTAAAGATATTTCTAACTTGTATTTCTACGTGGACTCTTTCTCTCAATATTATTTATTTATTAAATTTTAAATTTATATATTCTATATTGTAATTTTAATTACATCGATTCTTATTTCAATATTATTTTATTTGTAATCCAAATTTAAGATATTTTAACTTGTATTTCTACGTACGTGGACTCTTTCATTTAATATTATTTATCTTTTAAGTTCTAATTTCATATATTTCTAAATTATATTTTTGTACGAACTCTTCTCTCAATACTATTTAATTTTTAATCCGAATTTTAGATATTTCTAAATTATATTTCTACATGGGCTATTCTTTTAATTTTATTTATCTATTATTCCGAATTTTAGGTATTTTAAATCATATTTCTATGTGGACTCAAAATTTTCTTTCTCTCTAATTAGTGTAAAAAATTTTAAGCCGTGAGAGCGAATGTGATGGCTCTTTTTTCTATTAATTTATTAAGATAATAGATTATTGTTCGTATATATATATGTTTTCCCCCTTTGTTTTGGATTGAAGTTTTCCCGTTGGTTGTCCCCTGCACATGCGGATCGAAGTTATAACTTTAATGTGTTTAGGTGTTTGATTTTCACACCCATATAAAATGATATTATTATGATTATCACTAGAGAAATACACAAGCCGAATTCTAAATGAACAGTCGAATAAGACTAGATAAACACAACCAATTTTATTGGCATCGACATGATTTATATAGAACATACGAGGAAAATAGGCGTATGAATGCACATCATTTGTTGAGATCAGGCAATAATATACAGCTACACCCCTGGGACTTGAATCAGGCAAAAAGAAAATCATATGGTGATTTCTTACCCTTTATGTTCTATAGGTTGCAAGGATCAACAACTATACATTTATAAGCCGTGGTATACAAGACTGATCTGTAATGAGTCCAAACTGACTATACCGGGATTGATATATACGGGAAACACTGACCGATCCCTTCCTGCCTTCCTTGTCATGATCTCCATTGGCACTTGTGTAACCAGACATATATAGGCCCTGTTTAGTTCCAAAGTTTTTTTCCAAACTTTCAATTTTCCATCACATCAAACATTTCATACACACACAACTTTTCTATCACATCGTACCAATTTCAACCAAACTTTCAAACTTCAGTGTGAACTTTTAACTTCTTGTTCTTGCCATCATATATACCTGGTCCTCTGACCACCTAGTCATGAAGAACATGAACAAGCTAGCCATGATCAAACGTTGTTTTTCTCCAAATAAAGGCACAACCTAGAAACACAACAAATTCTCTTTGAACAAAATGTCCACATAATTGACAATTAATTGTGTGTTCATGCGTGTGGATTACCATATATAAAATTAAATCCAATAGTAAAATTTATTGGGTATTTTGTATGGTCAGTCAAATTAGGGCCATACTATATATATTACTCTTATTGTATGCAGATGAATGCTTTCGCCTTACTATATTACTGCATCTCATCTTAAAAAAAGTGGGGGAAAAAAAACTAAAAAACACATTGATTATATCATTGACAATGATGCCCACTAGGAAGGCCAAAGCACATGGCATCGTTCGTACAATACGTTACACGACACAAGATAAATATGTGCATTGCATCACCGTCGACCTATACCCATCAATCGATTAGTCATCACATGTACAGGTACGGAATAAAATTTGATTCCACAATAAAAATAAAACAAAAGCAAAATAGAAAGTCAAAACTAAAGTGATTCCACAATAGAAGATCGATTGAGCCCTAGCTACCATATAAGAATTGAGCTCTTCATGCTCATAATGTGGCGCCCAACAAGCCACGCCTTTGGATATGTAGCCTGCATATGCTCCATCTATATCACCTATCCATTCCACTGTGGTTTTGGAATCCATCAAAATAAAGTTGTTGATGCAGAAAAACAATAAAAAAGAAATGATAAAGTAGCTAGTCACCAAGTGCAAGTAGCTAGAGGGATCTCTCTCTCTCTCTCTCTCTCTCTCTCTCATCCCATCACCATTACCTCACTAGGATAGTGAGTGCATACAGTGTATGTGTGATGCTGCGATCCGAGACCGATCACGATATATTATATCCTATTCATGGATGCTAATCACCTTTATATCTATCTATCACTCTATCTTAGTTGTATGTGTGTACACCCTGATCTCTTGTAAAAGCATACATTTAAATGGATCAAGTAGGAGTTTTGGGGCTTTCCGCACATGCATGAGATCAACTGCAACTTGCTAAATATAATCCAAGCCGCGGTCCATGATGGACTTTAGGCCTAGCTACTTTCATATAATTTAAAACGTGGCTGAGGATAAAAGGGAAATATTGTTAATCTACCAATATGTTGTTTATTATGGTCATAAATAGTAAAAAAACAAAGAATAACTTGTATGTCATAGAAATTTGCTATTAAATTGTCATTTGTTGTCCCATCAAATATATAGATTGGCACTAGGACAATATATAGTAAGTTAACATTGTGACTTTTGAGAATAAGTATATATCTTAACCTGCTCATATATGACATTATGTTTTTGACTAGTTAGTGGCCCGATTAGTTTTTATAGCTACCTGATCATGCACCCAACATATATAAAAGAGACATTTTGCCTTTGAACTTTATTTCCATTTTCAGGATGAACTTTAAGCCTAGATATATGATTAGAAGACTAAAGTAGAGCATGCACATATAGTTAAAACAGATTCTGAACAGAGAAATAAATAAATACTACCTTTGTGGATATTAAAGTGGTTCTTTCTTGCTTTGTTCTTGACTATATTACTTTTGCTCACTCCATATTGTAGTACTTCTTTTTTGCTTTGGCTCCTCTTGAGTCTTGACTTTGGTAGAAAGAACAGGGTTCTTTTAATTAAACAAATATATATATCCCCTTCAGTTGTGAAGAGATCGATGTTATAGAATGCCTTTGTAACTGAAAACAAGGAAGAACTACATGCATGGTGCATTACTGATTTCAAAATTATTTTGGAAGGATAACTTGCATTTTGTGAAATATAACTTAACTGCATTTTGTGGTTTTATTAGCTAGGAGCTCTCGTCTTATCTGAACAAATATTGTTATGGCAATATTTATGACAGACAAACGATGGTGCCAGGAATCTTGACAATTATGAGGTCAAATCTTGCATATATACGCATCATGTGAAGCCCAATATATACTGGCCTTTCAGCATGTAATACAGGATGTGCTCATTTCCTCACTATAGCGCGCAGGTTGGAAAAAAAGATGTAGAGACTTAATTAAGTATCAGAAAAATATTAATATTTGAATTCTCGACTTCCCTACAGAAAATGCAGGTATATATTAATTATAATCGGAACCGTGAACACTCGCGCATATGCAATTGTTTAATCGATGCGTATGTATGCAATATTAATTGATTTTGTTTCCGCTTTTTTGAACTCTTCTTTACATGTACACATGTTTTCTCCATGCATGTCTATCTTGGCTTTCAACCCACTGCAAGTGATGTATAAAAGCCTGCATAATTCAATTAAATCCCCACTCTACAACAAGATGGTAATATTTGTATATCATCACTACTAAAATCCAATAGTTTCTCTATTTATCCCTACCTGGTGTTAACACTAGGCTCTCTAGGGAACAAATTCACGGGAAAATTAATAAAGCGCTTTCTAGAATATATATATGCATCTCAAGAGGTGTGCAATGTATATATGAACACACACGCAAACCCTACCCCTATGAGCATCTTCGAAAACTGGGCCGACAAATCCTGGAGAGATTGACGAAGTCACCACAGGCCGACAAATCCTAGAGAGATTGACGAAGTCACCACAGGCGCCTCGCTGTCGACGGGTACGTCTCCTACCACTGAAAGCACAACGTTGTTAAATCCTGAAAAATTCACTCCCATGGGTAGTTGAACCCAAGACCTCATAGGCTCTTGTAACCACTAGGCTACAGGCCCTTTCGCGTATGAGTAATTATTCTGATATATGTATAAGTGTTTGGTTTGATTTTATATACTCGTTTTCTAATCTGTTTTGATTAATATGCAGGATATAACAAATCTTACAAACATAAGAACATGTATAAGTAATGCATGTGATGGTAGTAAAAAAATAGATCAACATGTGTGTGCGTGACAATTAATTAAAGGATGATCAATGCAATGCAATGCAAGTTTGTACATATATTTAACATGCAATTATCATTGATTATCAACTCTCATACATAATATGTGTACTCACTACTCGTGGGAAAAAGGGCGAGTACACGTGATACATATACATCGACTGGAACTAAACAGGAACATCAAAAATGAAGTTTACACAAACCACACATATGTAGCATGTGAATCTCACTCGGTGCTCGCAAGCTAATCAACCTTATTATTGTCAGAGCAGGATTGAAAAAACCTGCCCTAACGCAAAAGTTGCATGCTAGCGCCACATGTTATTCTATGTAAACACACACTTCACGCTCTCCAGCTATATACTTTTTTATTTTGTTTTCCTGAATGGTACCATAGTCTAGTCTCTCTCTCTCTCTATCTCACGCATGATGACACGGCCTTGATCTACAGCCAGAGGGCTCCCGCATTCTTGAGCATGGGGATCAGCTCACCTCCAAGGTGGAGGGACATGATCTTGTTGGTTCCCCCAACGAGCTTCCCACCAATGAACACCACCGGCACAGGCGGCCCCCTTCCGAGCAGCTTGAGGAGTGCCCTCTCCATCTCCTTGCCCCTAGGGTCTTGGTCCAGCTCATGCACTAGCGCGTTGACACCGAGATCACAGAAGAGGCGTGTCACGGTGTGGCACATGCAGCATGAGCTCAAGGTGAAGATCACCACCGCACGCTCGGATGCTAGCTTCATCACACGGTCCATTTGTGTTGTCTTTCTAACAGCAAGCTAGGTTTGAAACTTAGGGAGTGTGCTCTAGTGAGCTTGTGTAGTAGGCTTATAGCACCTGGTTGCTAGTAGATGTGGTAACTTGGGATGGATTGGTACAACAGGGGGTAGCTTCCTTTTATAGAGTTGCAAAAGATGTTGCTAGGGTTTCCTTAACGGGTTTTGGATCCAGCACAAGCAATAACAAGAAGTGTTTCGAACAGGCCAGCATGATCTAGCTCTAGCTAGAGAGTTATGTTGTACTATACGTACACCCTTGAACATATTATTCTGAAAAGCAATATACTTTAGATTGGATGTTTCTAGACAAATATAAAAATGTTCCTAGGAATAAGCTACTTGCTAACTAAGGTAGGGCCATTCACAACATATCTTTGCCTTAGATTGGTCTACATATTAAAATAAAGTGAAGGGTACGTATATGTACAATATATTTGTGCAGATGGTTTTGGACACAAAAGTTGTGCCCATTGGATAGATTGCTAGAAGGGTTGGCATGCATGAGATCAATTCGGATCATGCATCGAATCGTCTTTTCAACAGGGGCCAAAGAATATTGGAATATTTTGTTTGCGTTGGCCTACAATGAATCTCATATATATGTATGCTTATGGGTGGGAGTCCTTTTCTTTTCCTTTGACATGGCTAAATCTGGCAGGTTAAGCTTTCTCAAGAAGTTGCCTACATTCTTGCAAGTACATACTAATTCTTGCAAAAATTGCACATATATATAGAATTTGAATTTTTTTAGCTTACTCTCCTATCATCTATATGCTAGTTCATCTGTGGATTTTCAGAGGAATTACATGGTTAAGGGTAAGGGTTAACTCGCACTTCATTTGTTTTCTTGATTACATCGTGTTCTGTTCAAGCTAAGCGGTGAAAAGTTTATAAACAATAGCACAAATTCTCGTACTTTTACCATCGTCGATCATGCAAAAGTTTACCAATCTCTTGATCAATCCTTTTTGTTCACCATCAAAATCGTCACCCATATAGCTGAGAATTTTTCTACTATAGCTGGGGGTACATGTATCATGGGCAATTAATTATTAATGGCATATAATTTGGTCCATTTTTTTGATAAATAATATATCTAAAATAAAAGTTATTAAGGATCTACATACTTCGATGAGCTCTCAGTTAGCTTATAAAAGTTATATATATATATATTAATCTAGTCCATTATATTCATTTTTGTACCTTCACTACGTACTTAGATTTGTGGGCTTAATTTCCTGTGGGTGACAATATTTTCTGATAGTCCTGCAGCTGTCCTACAGGAAAAAAAAAACTCATAACCATAACCATATAGAAACCTTCAGACGCGCCAAAATGCTTGGTACAAAGCAGCATGTTCCATATTATGAGCAGTTCATTTTTGGCTAGTTTCAGAACTTCAGATCATTCAGGCCAATTAATTGCAGTGTTGAGCATGCATGCATGCATGCATGCACCTCAGTGTTAGAATGCTACGCTATTAAGCCTGCTAGCTGGTTTCTCTGCTTTCAATAATTCTAGTAGTCCCAAAATATGGTTCATGTATATTACAAGCTAACTCAAGACTGTTTCCTTTTGCTACAACAATTGCATAGAAATATAGATCTCATCTCCTTTATATTCAGTGATGGGTGATAAAACAAGATTACTAAAGCACTATACTGGCTACCATAGAAAGCATATATGGCATTAATTAATTTTCCCAGTTTCATTTGTCTACACCTACCATGCATATATGCACCCCCTTTTGTATTGCCAATATTTAATATCAGTAGTAGTGATACCTTTTGCCTCTTGCAACAGATAGCTTCCTGATGGTATCTAAATTGTTGTACTTTTTAGGAATTTTGGATATTGATATATATGCACAATTTTATCTATCGATCAAATAAAGTTTATAACGTACTTTTCTTTGAATTATGCATATATTTTGATTATGAAGTTCCCTTACTATCAAAACCAATCAAGTACTTGGGTTGAGAACTGAAAATCCCCAATTTCAATTTTTTATATATATTTAGTGATAGTGAAGAAAATTAACAAACACAACATATATATGCACACTAACATTATACAGTAATGTATCACTTTTTATTTTGTTTCCTCCCCTCTATGAAATACATTATGTCAGTTTCATGTCAACTCCAGATGTGCCTAGCTAGCTAGATACTACCTAAGAGATCAAAAGCTATAGCAAAGCACAATCAAGATTCTGCAAAGATATATAGATAGAGCCAAAGCATATATTATATAGCAGTACTTTGGTTCCATCCAAAGACAAGCCACTCACACACAAGAATCAATTGGTCGATTAATTCACAAAGAAACCTAAAAGAAAAGAAAGATGACGATCAAGAAAAGAATCCACCCAATTGGCAGTGTCGTTATCTCGCAGAGGCGAGTGCAAGGCCACCTGTGCAGTGCTGCATATCACATGTGTTGGTCGGTTGATGAACTCGATCTATCGATCGATCTCAAAGGTTAATCGGAATAAATTAGATACATACGATCTCTTATTTTGTGACTCATCAATTGGTATTAATTAGCTCATGTTACTAAAATAGATCATTGGGACATTATGTACAAAAACCATATTTTTGCTATAATGGTACTGCATTTTATTATTGCAGCAGCAGACACAAAGCATTGTCCACACAGGAGGCCTCTACATCATAGGAGAGGATCCATGACTGGCCAGTTGACATAACTCTCATGATCCTTCATATATAGAGCATGGTGAGCCTTTAAAAGCATGCATGTACCAACACTCCCCCCAAGTTGTTTGTACTAGCTAGCCATGATTTATTTTTTTTTTGCAAATTATTGCATTAAATTGTATCCAATCGCCAAGTTATTATATACACGCAACACAATTTACTATCATAAGAATATGCATTGACATTTTTTATTTATTTTTCTCAAATGCATAGTAAGTAATAGTCAAAAAGGCCTATAATTCAGGGAGGTGCTTATGTGTCCCCCCCCCCCCCCCAAAAAAAAAAAAGAGGAAAATGTTTTTCTCTAGTTTTAAAAGCTTGAGTAAATGTTGGAGACTACCACTTGCCCCTTCAGATTATTTTAGATGTATTATATTATAGAGATGCTAAAAGGATCGACCACATTCGCTTTAATATTAGTAGCAAATACACTCTAGTTTTTTGAATAAGCCATAGTCTCTAGCTCTGCACAAAATTCAGCTAGTTAATTCAATTGAAGGGTGAGAGTACACATGAGTACTTCTCATTATATATAATTTATGGGATATATATAGATATCCTTATTCTCCTTGGTGAGATCCACTACATTATTGTAATTTTTTTTCTCGAAAAATACATGTGGATTATTATTGTGTTTCGATTCATTAAAAAGAAGAATATGGCTGGCTAAGTAAACTTAAGTTTATTGTGAGTTCAACTCCATGACTTTCTCATAGGATGTTCTAACCTCTAAAAAAAGGATATTTATTTATTTGAATTAATATATGGACTGTATATAAGATGTTCTGAGTGCCTAGCTCTTTGACAAATGACGATCGAGATAGTCGAAGAGTATTAATTTAGAGTAGAGCACTACATATATACTGCAGCTGTGCAGCAAGTGGCCGGCCTGGATAGCGATGGACAGCACCCATCCATACCGGCCAGAATGATGTACTTGACGTGACTACGTACGTGTAAAGATATGCTCGATCAATCTGATGAGATTTTAGCTTAATTAGAATATCTATCATCAAGATATTATTCTAGAGTTCATAGTCAACAGAAAACCTGAAGCAGACATAGCCTCGTATTTTCGCTTATACTTATATTTATATATAAGCCAAAATTTAAATTTTTAACTTTAAATTTAGAATTGATTTTAGAGTTTTCTCATCGTAGTTTATTTTTCAGTCTTTGCTTTTAGATCGCTAAGAATATGTATATAAAGTTTTATATACAAATTATTTTTCATTTGGAAATATGTCATTTGGCTTATTCCGTGAATAAGCCAAACGATAGAGTCCTCAGTCCTCACACCTTCTCATGCTTAGGTAACATAAAGTGGCCAGTTTGTTCTAGAAGCTTCCACATAATTAACCTACTTCTTCCCTCCTGGATAGGAGTGGCAACCGAAAAACTGAATCGAACTAACCGAGGCTAAATATTTTGGTCAGTGATTCTTACTAGCCGAAATTAACTCAGTCATTGGGTAATTAGTCTCCGTTAACCGAACTGACCAAATAGACTGAAATATTAGCTAGAAGCCTATTAAGTATTATGTGTAATGTGAATGTGTTAATGTTAAGTTGGACTTGTTATGATGCTATATATCTCAGTGACATTTTACTATCAAAACGTGTCCTAAGAGAAGGGAAGTATTACCTACAAATTTAATTGTGATCTGTGTGATTTTGTTATCTCTTGAAACTGTCAACTATTTTTGTCATGACCGAAGACCGAACCGAACTAACTGAAACTGAATTACTTGGTCTTGACTATTTTGCCATGCAAATCGGTTTTTAGTTTTAGGTGGCCGAAAATTTAAAAGACTAAAATACCGAACCGAATTGTTCAGTTTGACCGAATGCTTACTCATGGTTTTTGATATGTTTCGAGTCAGACTTTAAAATATTTGAATAGTAATATACTCCCTCCATCTACTTTTGATAGTCATATTTCCAAATCTGAAAATTTTATTTTTGATAGGCATATTTCAATCCAACAACTTATCATCTTAATGGCTTTCTTCGATTTAATGCGTGACTCTCCATTCTTTCACACAAGATTGGCTACATGGGCATCGAGAAATGTAAATATTAATGAATCGCTTGTTTACGAGGAATGACTAGTAGCATATTTAAATGGATGATTAGGACAATCACTTATCGTTGGTCTGTGTGCCAAAATAAAATATGACTATCAAAAGTAGATGGAGAGAGTATTTCTTAAATATTTCTATTAGATGTATGTAAACTATAAATGTAGATTTTCCTCAAAAAGTACTTTCATAATACTATCACATTATAGGATTTTCAAAAATTTTGCAATAGAGAATAATGGTCAAAATTGCATTTTACAAATCCAAAAATACTCCCTCTGTCCCAAAATGAAAGCATTTATAATTATAGAGTACCTGCTTTTGTAACTAGAGAAAGTACTACCTCTCTTATCAAATCTCAAAAGGATGATGTTTTGGATATTGACACAATCTCTATGCAAATGTTTTATCATTACTTTCTCAAATTATATATTTATAAAAATATTAAGAATATAACTATATGAAAGAGTTTTTCATGAAAAAACTACTAATATGATTTTTCACATTTCAAATCCTAACATTTTTTCATCTATTATATGCATATGTAGCCAATGTGGCAAACAGGGTTGTTTTCAGCGTTGCCTGATTATTGGAAAATAAACTGCCATCCTTTGACCAATTACAATAGCGCACCAATGGCATGCTATTCTACGAGCAGAAAGCCTAGTAGAGAAGCTGTAACATAAATCATCATACAAGATACAGTCCGTCACAAATTCAGTCAAGCAGGGTGAGTACTGTACAAATGTATGTCTACAGTGACAAAGATATGGAATCGCAAACCTTGCAATGCATGCGCTGGATGACTGAAAGTCATAGATATTGCAAATTTGGTGATACGGTGCATGCCGACTTCAGCATGAAAATTAAATACCATGGTGCCAGCTTAGCTACTCCTCCAAGCACATTTCTACAGAGAAATTGTCGGCAATCGACGACAAGAACGGTGTCGAAAACGACGGCGAATACCAAGACGGTACGGCCGCCACGCTCCATCTTGCGACACATGGAACTGATTCCGGCCAGCTGATCGAGTAGCTTTCGAAGTAACCAGGGATCAGTGCCCTCAGGTTCAGAATAGCATCCATTTGCACAGCTCGCTCTCTACCTTATCGGTGGCATGGAATGGAATCTGTCCAACTTATCTGCTTCTTTTCTCTCAAGATTTGGCTGCCTCTGCTTTGCAAACCACATCATCATCGGCCTGACCTTATCAGATATGAGGCGTCGCGATGCCGAAATCCGACGGTGCAATCTTTGCTTTTCAATATCCTCGCTGAATTCTTCCTGCAAAACCTCTCCACGGGCTAAAGCTGACAAGGTTAGAGAGAGAGAGATAGCAAAAGATGCTATGTCATTGTTGCTACCTGTATGATGCTGAAGGCATAAGCAGAAAGTACGATATTATCTGACATTTTATTTTCCTTCTCTCATATTTTAGTGCATGACGCAAACATCCAGCAGGACAAGAGAATGATATCCTTATCCTTTATATCTGCATTGACAGCTCTCACCTGGTAAAATAAGATGTAGAGGAGAGAAAAAGCTAGTGTTCTGTAGAGCAATCTCCACTGCTCCAGAGACCAGAATCTTATTGTTCTCTTTGGTGTTTGATCAGCCCTTGACTCCTCACATTCTCAAGGGGTATTCAGTACTCTTTGGCTCCTGCAAGAAGAGAATGTAAGATTTAGCCCCTCATAACGAAACTCGTGGCACCTCATTGCAGCAGAATAAAATTCTGAGGTTTACATGTGTGACAACAATCATAGCTTAATTAATTCATCATAGGTTCAAGCCAATGCATTTTGTACAACTGGGGCTCAAATTGTAGTAGATGTAGCTAGTATTACTAATTTGCTATTTATTTTTTACCTTTGTATTTTCATTATCTTCCATAGTATTGCGGGCTTGCGGCTGTGTGAGAATGCATTTCAGCACTGTGCTTGTGATTGCATTCCAACACTGTACCCATGATTCTTTAACATGTGCAACACAAGACCTAACCTACATTGCAGCAATATGCCTTAAAGTCAGTCCATGATGTGCCGACACCTTAGAGGAACTTATGCCTTGGCCTGCGCCATGCTATTTGTGCAAGTGGGAGACCTAACAATCTCTATTTTTATGATAGGCATGAGCATGAGCCACCTTACCTGAAACCTAAACCAGGCTAGCTTCAGCAATTTGGCAGTCTCGGATCCTAACATATCACATATCCATTTTAATGATTTACACTCCAATTTGAACATGATGCATTTGATGTCAATGATCCTATCCAGCCTAGATGAATATAATGCCTATGGCTCTATCATCATCTCTCATCTTCACCTCCAACGAATCCTCTTTTGACGTGATGTACTGATTTGGATGCTTTCTTACTTTTGTTCTTCCAAGACGCGTAATGTTTTCGGAGAAAGAGCCATGGTATTTCAGAACCACAATTTGTTCAAAGGATAGCAAGCATTTCTCAATCTTCAAACGCATAGCTGACACGAAAGGATGCATGCACGTCTGCAACAAAGGATAAGATGAAAGGCATAGAGCATATGGAAAATATCTATCAAATATATGCATATGTAATCCCAAACTGAAACTGGAGCATCTAAATCTTTCAAATCCATGGTACTAACAGAGTGACCATGAAGTGTCTCCCCTCAGGATTTGTACTTGATCAGAGGCCCCAAATGTCAGAGATGATACATCCCCTTGGCTTCCAAATGGCTTCATATATGCACACCATTATCATCAGTATGGTGCCACTAGAGCTGTGTACAGAGAACCAATTCACTATACTAGATTGTACGATCGTTGATGCTGAAAAGAGGAGGATGATGGGTACCTTGGATTGATTCGATGACGAACTGCATACACAGATGCCTTAACAGGATGATGGTACCACTCAGCATCAACCGCGTTGCTGTATGTCAAAGCAGTGGTGCACCCACGCCTTCAGAGGATCCTCTGGAATCAACGTGTAACGCAGTGTGTCGCGTCATCACGCTCGAGAATGGTTCCCGTGCTTCTTGATCTCTTCCGTATGCCACTCCTTTAGCAGCATGTAAAACATAAGAAACACAATGGAAGATTAACTCTAGGTTCTTCAGTACAGCAGTCCATCTCATGAAAACTAAACCAGAACACACTAGCAGAAAGGGGAATCAGTAACTTTGGATTTGTTGTATAGTATAGTAACAATCTTGGTCATGGCATGGATTCAATAAACTTATGTCAAGTGCGTAGCATGATGCTAACTTGCTAAGTCCATTGGTGGATGCAAGAAATGGATTATGGCATACATTTACATTATATTTCTGATGCTCAATGTTCAAGCTGTTCATGTGAATTGCCTACTGAAGCAGGAAGCAAGAAGCAGGAAGGTCACCTGCAGTATTCTCCCATGGCCAGCCCAAAAATCATGTGGAACGGAATAAAATCCCTGCACCCGATGCCCTCTTGAGCAAATCGTCGAACACCTTGAATCCCCTCCCAATGCGCCGGCTCTCTCGGCTGCTACACAAACATAGCACAAAATCATTGGTTAATGTAGGAGACGGCGATCTCGGATTTCCGCGTCGAGGCCGTCCTTGATCCTCCTGTTAGATCGATCGCGTCGCCGCTCGCTCCCTTCTTCCCGCCGCGCCACCCGATCGAGCTGCGGCCTGCAGCGCCCGCACGATGGGGAGCTCGGCGCGAAGCCGGAGGTATAGCTCCATGGCGGCCGGCCGAAGGAGGAGTTCCGTGCAACAATGCCGATGGACGGATGGCGCCGGAGCTCCGGTGGCTGGCGGCCGGCGGCGAGCGGGCCAGCGGGTTGTTCGATTGAAATCGTGTGCTTCAGAAAACAAAAAAATTGAAGAAAATGAGGGTAAAACCGTAAAATGAGACTGGTCCATTACGTGGCTAATTAGCCCGGTACATTTCGGCCCAGTAAAATATGGAATTCGGTCCATTTGGGCCTACCAAGTTAGGCCCACTAAAATTTGAAGCCCGATCTATCGGCCAACCCAATTTCAAACCGATAAAAAATTCGGCCCTGAGAAATCTGTAAAACGTGGCCGAAAAAAATGTAAATGTGCATGAATATGTACAATATAAGAGTAATAATAATAATAATAAATATAGCAAGCCAATAATATGTACGTAATTTATTTTTAATAATAATTCAGCGGCTTGATATGCTAACGAAATTTAATTTTGTTTGTGCGACAAAAAATGTTGGAGAATTCTGTACCTTGTTTTTTTTTCAGAAATTGTGTACTTCTTTTTTACTTGTTTTTTAAAAAACTGTTTTGACTTGTTAAGTGATTAACAACCTATTAAATATGTGAGTTAATATATTGTCTTCCAAAGGCTAATTAAAATGATTATTAGCTTATTGAATCTTAAGTTGATAAGTTTGCCCACTTACTGTAAAACGAAGACAAATCTGAACCAACATACAATCATCAACATGTAGAGTACGCATACCCATTTTCCATGGATTGCAATCATCAACATTCAGCTCCTGGATAACATGATGGGTTTCACTTTCACCCACACTGATAACAGCCATGGCTGTGATTAAAGATTCAACACAACATATGGTATCATCACAATAGCTTTTGTCTAGTAGCAGTTCCAACACATGAAGATTCAAGGAATCAATTGAATCTTGAAGAATTGGGTAGGCACTTGGATAGGCTAGCCGCAAAACAATGTTCCTTCTACTACTTGTATATGTATGAATCTGGGACTTGATTGTCTAAACTGTAGATCTTGTTGGGCACCAACATGGCATGTTATCTACGGATTGTTTTCGGACGAATCTGACGTCGAGGGAGAACTGCTTCCTGATAAATCCGCAGGCCGTGATGTCGATCGAGTATTGTACGAGTTGCAGTGGCTGCACTTGTGGCCAATCACATGGAAGTCCACTTCTGAGACCTTGTTGCAGTCATTACAGAGCACCCAAACCTAGTAATTTTCACAAGGAAAGAACACCTTGTTAGCCTAAATCTGGGTATTGTGTGTGATTTGCATGATAGTGATCGTCAACAGTATATATAATAATGAAGGTCCCTGCTTTTGCTGCATATTTTTGGATGATTTATCAAAAAAAAAAAGGCAGCAGAAAAAGGTTTCGAGGTGAGTTCTGACTTCTGAATTTCTTAGCAAAGCATAACCTTCAGTTTGGCAATGAAAGCAAGGTGAACTGTGTAGCTAAATCAGAAAAAGAATACCTTGTAACGGTAGACGGGAGGCATGATTGTTGCTTCAATCTACAAAAGAACACATCGTCTTGTTATTATTTAACAAAGCACCAATCATATCTAAAATGTTCAAATCAAATCATCATAAAAGTGTATGATAGATGCTACTGGAGTGCCAATATGCCTGACTAGTTTTACTGGACACAACTCATCTCCAATGGAACGTATTTCCTGATTTCCGGGCAGGAGGATCATCAACTAGTTTTGTTCTAATAATGTTTCAGATTGTTTCTTTCACTGCAGTGTGAATATGCCGAGTTTGTTTGACCGTGACACTTTACTTATAATCTGTAGAAAAGAAATACATACCTCTTGATCTAACAATGCCCAGTGATGTGTCATATCAAGAGCTGTCTTGGAGCATATTGGACAAGTGTATCTGTATAATCCAAATAGCCAGGAACTAGTTATATCTCCAAAAAAAGGCAAGAACTGGTTACAGTGTCAGAGAAGTATTAAGCAAATGAATAATGGCAACAAGTGGAGGGATTTACTTGTTATGTTCCACCATCTCAGAAAAGCATTCCATGTGCATCGTGTGTCCACAGTCGAGAACTCGTGTTCCTTTTAATGAATCAAATAGATACTGCACAGGAAGTTCAGTTTTATCATCTTGCTAAGTTGCTAACCAGGAAGGAAAGAGTGCAAGTTCTCAAAGTTACCTCATAACAAATTGGGCAATTCTGCCTCATTGAGTTCTCCACACACTGATGGTTATCACGCAGAGCAACAGCATAACAAGACCCTACGTGTTGCAGCAAAATTAATTAATAGATACTACATATAACCATTACCAGAAAAAAAAATAGTCATCATATTGACATTTTTAGGATAGAAACTAGAAAGCTATGCAATAAAATAAGTCATCTGGGCAACAATTTTTTTTAATTACCAAATTCAGTATCACCTAAATAGACTATGATTGCATTTATGGCATATTGACATGATCTACATACCACACTTGTTAGTTAAAAATGATCAGCACAAATTGGAAAGATTTATCTTAAAGTGACATATCACACTAGTGCAGACAAAGCATACCGCACTTTGCGCAGTGGAAGTAGTTTTCCTTGCCACCAACCCTGGTTGATTAAGCGGATACAGAATTAGAACTATGATTCACAAGATAATTGCTGAGCTATTGTTTCATGCTCACCTGCATATGCCACAATCGTAGCAATGAAACTGCCCTTTCTCTGTCTGTAGCAAAAAGACGAATGCATCAGTTGAGAACGGATAAGAACCACCCAAAAAGCATATAACCACAGAAAATAAATTTAAGAACCTACATCATCATCATAAAACTTGCATACATCACAAAAGTACTCTCCCATATTGACACCACAGTTTATGCACACTTGTGACACCTGAAAAACAAAATAAAGTCAGTGTATGTATAAATGGTCTCATCGCATGACACTGGTATTGTAAACAGTATCTTCTAGAAATTAAGTCGCACCGGCTGTTCAGTATCACAGAGTAGACATACTACCTGCAGGAAAGAATAAAGTCAACCTTATGGAATTTCTGAACCTAATAAAGTATCAATTGTACAAACCAAACTAGAAAGGACATGAGAGGTGTACTTTTTCAACATCCTGGCGGCAAATGGTATGCCGATCACCTGAAGCCTACAATGAGAACAATATCAATACCATCAAACCTAGTTAAACTCAACAGTTAAAACAGTTTTGTTCTTTAGTTTCTCTTTTTAACTTCTGCAAGGGATTACAGAACTCCATTATGTGCCCTTATTCTCAAATGATTTTGAAGCTCCATGTTGGAAGTAACTATCGACAAGTTAAGTCTTTTTTTTATGTTCTACCCTGATTGACTCAACACCCTGCGACTTGCATTTCATTGGTCTCTATACCACCAACTTTCTTTTCATGCATAAGTTCAAACAAGAAAAGTTGTTCAAAAGGCTAAACTGGGGAAAAGGAGTCAAGTACTAAAACTAGCGCATTTATAGGAACTAAAATACCAATTCCATATGAAGGAATCAGCTCAAACTTGTCAGCTTGCCATTCAAGACTTGATGTTTGGATGATTGGGGGATCTAGTTCCATATCCAACCAGGCAAGAACTACCAAACAATACTAGTACTAGATAGCATGGCAGTGCACTAACTAAATACTAATCACTTGGCATCCCATGGAAATCCCCTTCTACATGAACAAGATAAACAACCGCAGCAGCAGAGCATGGTTACCGTGGCATCGTTGTGGCAATGGCGGCAAGCGAACACCTCGCCGCAGCAGGGCGCCACGATCTTGCATCTCCTCCTGTAATGCTCGCACCTGCACACAACAAGAGATGGCGCGGGGAGGGGGGCAGATTTACTCAGTGAAATTCAGCAACCAAAAAGCAAAAGCATAGATCAGCAAATCCAGCAGAACAAGCGAAACAAAGATTGAAACAGCTAGCGAGCGGAAACAGCACAGCACCCCCTACGAAGAACAGAATCATCCCACACCTCACCGCGAAAGAACAAATCAAGAACCCGTGGGGAAGAGGGGAAAAAAGGAGGAGGTCCCCGCGAAATCTCACCCGTGCTCCATCTTGCCCACGTCGCGGAGGGGGACGACGGCGTCGCCCTCCCCGGCCACCACCTCGCCCTCACCGGGGAAGTGCGCCCCTCCCATCCTCCCCGACGGCGGAGGCGGCGGCGGCGAGGGGAGTGGAAGAGGGGTTTGGATGTAAAAAGGAGGAAGCGGAGGGGGCTAGGGGTAAAAATGGCTGCGATGGAAATTGGCCGGGCTAGGCCACTCACGCTTTTATTGGTGCAGAAGATGAGAGGGCGTTATCGGTTTGCGGGCTGCCGGGCTGGGCCCACTTTGCATTAATTGCTAACTGTGCCATGTTCAATCTCATCAATGGGGAGGAAAAGAAAAGGAATGAAATTTGAGGGATAGTCAGGGGTTCTTTTGGATTGGTGCTATTTCGAACAGTTTTTTTTATAAAGTTGTTAAATATATGTATACATTTAGTTTTTTACTAAATTTTAGTAAGAAAAAAAATATATGTTAAAACTTAACAATACTATTAAAATTTTAATAAGGTTTATTTTGGTTATAATCTAAACAGCTCTCTCAATCATTCGGTTAAGATCGTGGTTTTGACATGGAGAAGGAGGTTTTGGTTGTGTTCGGCCATGGCTACTGGCCACAGCTGTAGCCGGAGAAAAAAAAAGCAGCCGAACACACCCTTTGTAAACGAAGGCAACCTCTCATATAAATCATTAGTTTCCAAAAAAAAGAACTCTCAAAGATATTTAGAACAGTGTAAACGAGACTAGTAGTGTTTACAGCTAGATGTGCTCTTAATTATTTGATGCAGCTAAGGTTGTGGGTTGTGATCATGAAGAATGTCTTTTATGTTAGAGGCCATATCCTGTGAAAATGCACCAAATGTTGCAAACTTGGAAATACTAATCTCCACCGTTGCATCCAATCTGAACGACCATGATAAGCTCCCATCCACTCTCTCACCTGTTGGATGCACTTTTGCAGAAAACCGCCCGCACCTGGCTGCATATGTTACAAAAAAAACCCTATACTCATCTTCTTTATAGATTCTATCCCTCTCATCTTGTAATGTACTGCTACCATGATTTGTTCCAACAAAGCTCACTGGTCGACTCCTATGGCCAGCGAGACGGCGGTCGCCGGTCTTGAGCTGCGCCATGAGCCACTCCATCTCGGCGCGCTTCAAGACCGCCTTCACCTTCACCCCGCCGCCGCCGCCGCAGCCGTCTCTTCTCCATCCTCCTCCTCCTCCTCCTCTGCTGGTTCTTCCCTCAGCAGGTGGACGAATCCATCCTCCGCGGTGGCGATGGCGAACGGCATCGGCGCTACCCAATCCCCTAAGGCCGTTAGCAACCTCGCCCCCGACCGCTCCCCTGACCTGGACATTGAGTTGCAGGGCTACGAAGGGAATCAAGTCCCAACCAGATCTGGGCCAAGGTATTCTCTTCTCCCTGATGATGGATCTGTGCATTGGAGCCTGGTGAGGTAGAGCAAGGATTGGAGGGAGAGCACATAAGTGCTCTTGGTTTTTTTTCTCTGATTTCTTAGTTAGAAATGTGCAATAACCCTGGAATTGTTCTCTGATTGGAGGGAGAGCATGAGAATATTGCTTGCATGCTGGAATTCTATAAATGTAACTCACACATCATAGTCCCTGAAATGTTTTTTAGTTTCTAAAATGTATATGGATCTCTATTTGGGAAAGTCACTCTGGATGCTTGTGCTTTTTATTATATAATTTTTTTTACAAATGCATGTGCATCTATCCAAAAAGATTCATGTACAAGTTTAATTTGATTACGCGAGATGTTGCTCCTATTATCTCTTTGTGCAACTAACAACATACCATGAATAAGTATGTGCATCTGATCACAAATAAGAAACATTCTACATCTGGGCATGCCAATGAGAAACATTCAGTAGCAGTTGAATTTTGTTTTGTGTCTCACAAGGAATAGTTGTTTTTTTTCCTATAGAGAACATCTGCAAATTGTGCATAGGAAGATTCAAATGTGGGGAGGAGGATGTTGACTTGAAAAGAAGATGGAAGATGGAAAGAAGATGGAAGCTGAGACTGTTTAAGATTACTCATTTGATTTTTTTTCAAGGAGTTGAGAGATTTGGGGACTGATAGCTCTAGAGCACTAGTGATAATATAATTTCAAGAATGGGATAATTGGGGCATACCATCTTATGCAGATATTGTGTTCTTCTTTTGTATGATCAATGCATGTCTAAAAGCTTTCAAATTACTCTGGTGTTATCCTGTGAGAAGTAGTCTTTTTATATGGATGACAAACAACCTACCGGCTTGAGGTGAGTTTATTGGCCAGGGATTCCCCCTCGTCACCAAAGTGTCCCTGGGTGAGTTTCTCCATCTTCTCCATCTTCCCCAATCATGGGTTGCAACAAAAGAACACTACTGCACCCAATGCAAGTGGGCAAGCTTGTGCAGAGGAACACAACAAATCAAATGCATAAGGAACAAATCAGGTCAAGAACAAATGGGAGCACACCTCGATTATGACTGAAGACCAGCCCCATCTGCCACCGCCACCCCAAACCCTAACCCTAGATGAACACTTGTTGAGCTTTTGTCCATACCTCTGGAGCAGGAATGGAGGAGGAAGATTGGATGCGAGGAGGAAGCTCGAGGGAGTCAGGGAAGCACATAATCGTGGGGATTTCTCATCAGTTCGAATCGGAAGGAGGGGGTAGGGGACTAGCTGAGGGTGAGACCTTTTCTTTTAGATGGAGAGGAGCTGAGAATTGAGGTGGGGATTTTGGAATTGAGAGCGGGATAACATGGTCCTGATATTTTCAGTAAAACATATGTTAAGTGGGGTGGTAAACGTAAAATGTACAGTTGGAAGGGGTACATTATGATCTCATCCCTTGGAATAGGATCTAACGGTTGGTTTGCATATTTCCAACATTTACCCTGTTTGCACCTGATATGCCCTCTTTATGTTATTCACTGTGAAATGATAGAAATGATAAGTATTGTGGTGTCATAATGTTACAGGATACGACCACAATATATACAGGACAAAGGTTGTGTTCTGTCCCACGAGCTCCCAACTCATTTCTCTCATTTTCCACGTGCACGTTTTTTAAACTGCTAAACGGTACTCCCTCCGTCTCAAAAAAAGACAAACCCTGGTTTCCGTGCCCAATGTTTGACCGTCCGTCTTATTTGAAAAAATTATGAAAAAAATTAAAAAGACAAGTCACGCACAAAGTATTAATCATGTTTTATCATCTAACAACAATAAAAATACGAATTATAAAAAAATTTCATATAAGACGGACAGTCAAAGTTGGACACGCAAACCCAGGGTTTGCCTTTTTTTTGGGACGGAGGGAGTACGTGTTTTACAAAAAGTTAATTTTGGAAAGTTGCTTTAAAAATCATATTAATCCATTTTTCAAATTTTTTATAGCTAATACTTAATTAATCACGTATTAATCTATCACTCCGTCTGTTTTTCATGCAGAGGGGAGGGGTTTTCAACCCCTACAAAAGAACGCGGCCTAAAGAGTATTTCAGTCTTTGCGTATTTATACTCGTTTCAAAAATAGTAGTGATAGTGTTGGTTCTGTCACACCACCATCATCAACTCTCCACATTTTTTAAGGAGAAATCACATCTTAACCGTCTCGTACCAATTATTTATGAGAAAGTAAATGGACATTGTGAGGCTAAATGGTTTGTATGTCAGTACATGCAACAATTAAGAGATGATATGGTCCTCATCGTTTGGCTTTTTCCCAATAAGCCAAAACGGCTTATTAGGGAATAAAAATGAATTTATAGATAAATTTTTTATAGATGTGTTCTTAATAACTTAAAAGCCAATGCTAAAGAAACTACGTTGAAAATATATTAAAATCAACCTCAAAATTAACTTTAAAAATTTAAAATTTGGTTTTTTCTTTGGCTGACATCCGATGGGAGCCGATATATATAGAAAATGATGGTAATAATGACTTAATAATTATTATTTTTAATTGAAATCCTGTTGCAACGCACGCATGGAGGTCAAATGTATTGTTATTTACATATAGATAATAGATTCTGGATGTTATCTAAGGTTGTGTACATGGAAAATACTTTGAAAGAAACATATTATCTCCGTATAATTTCAATCGCTTCTATGCAGAAAACATGCTACAACAGCATGCCCTTGCAACAATTTTTATTTCTATTAATCACTTGCCAGTCTTTCCGTTTCGATTATACTTATTATAAGCGGGACACAGCTAAAAAATAATTTATAGGTAAACTTTTTAATATATATGTTCCTAGCGATTTTAAAGTAAATCCTGAGAAACCAACTACGACGAAGAAATCCAGAATCAACTTTAAAAAATAAATTATTGGCAACGTTGTTTTTTTGGAGGAGGGACATGTACAATGAGCGGCACACAGTAACAAAAAACTTCAGGTGGTCAGAGAACAGTGCTGGGTGCCAGTGATCGACAGTTTGCCAACCAGGAGGCCATCTTTCTCATCTCCGGTCAGAACTCAAAAGCCAGGCAAATCCTACTGGAAACTCTGGAAGAGAGAGGTTTGGGTGACAACTGACAACGGAAACGGAAAGAAAGAGGACGAGAGACCATGAGATGAGATGCGCACGATCGACGGCATGGGCCGCACGAAAGCGCCACCGGCACGCCAGCTGAGGCGGATCGTTCCATCAGCCGCTGCCGGATGCATTGCATCTCTTCTTCTCTTCTCCGGAGTGCGTTTACTTGACGCTAAAATTAGAAGTTTGGTTGAAATTAGAATGATGCGATGAAAAAGTTAAAAGTTTGTGCGTAAGAAAGTTCTGATGTGATGAAAAAGTTAGAAGTTTCAAAAAAAAAAAAGTTTGGCACTAAACAAGGGCTTGCTCTCCTCCTCCACCGCCGGCTCATGCAGTGGTGCTACAGTGCTCTTCTTTTTTACTCCACCGCTTGATTGATTCTCTCGCCCAACTTGGCTTCCGCAATACACTCGTCTCTACCTCACAATACAGTAATTTAAAATCGGATAGAATATTTTATAGTACAATAAATAAATTCATTTGATCATAAAATATCTCATCCGTTCTAAGTTTTGTCTAAATTTATTGTACTATAAAATTATCTCATCTGATCCTAAACTACTATTTCATGTGGCGGAGAGAGTAGTAGTTTGTAGTGTAGTGAGTTATTTGTTCTCTTTCTAAAGGAATTATTAACACGGTATAAACACAAACGTTCTTATATACACGCACACACTTGCATCCTTATAAATACATACATGTATACTGTGAACACTTTCAATTGAACCGGCATATTTTTAAGATTATAAAGTCATCATATGTATATAGCTGTTAATAAATACATCACTATGACTAAAAGAATAATTAGTCATTACTACAGTAGATAACTTAGTTGTAAGCTACTGCTTGTTGAGTCCATTTATATAATCAAGTTGACAATCTTTAATAATAACTTGTGTGTAATTAAGGTTCTAAATCTCCAGCAAAGCCTTTTAGCGGTTGAGCTCTCCAGCAGCTATAGCGGGCTATAGCTGCAACTAAGACATTTAGTGGTTTTTGAAAATATTAGGAAAAAAAAAATCAAAATTTTGATAGAATTTGGACTAAAAATCGACATATCATATATCACTTACTTGATTGCACATAAAGGACGATTGGTGAAAGGGACGGTGAGGAATGGTGTCCGTTTGTTGTTGGGAAGAGGCAGTAGTCGTCGCCGGGAGAAGCAGCACCCGCTGCAGGGAGAAGCAGCCGCCATTGCGGGAGAAACAACAATCGTCGTCGCCGGGAGAAGCAGCAGCTGCCGTCACTGCTTGGGGGAGGAGCCACCGCCACCAGGAGAAGCAGCAGCCACCGCCGCTGCTTGGGTGAGGAGCTGCCGCCGCAAGATGTCTCACAGAGCATGAGCGGGAGAGGATAGGAGCCAACTGGAGGATTAGGGTTCGTTGTTGGGCCAAACTTCATGGGCCACATACGTCAAAAGCCCATTTTCAGTTTTGCTTTCTAGTTTTTTAGCCACAACTAAGTGCAGCTATATTTGACTAATTTAGCGGCTATCTCCGGCTAAGTGCTGCTATTAGCGGCCGATAAATCATAGCGTTAAAATTGAAATATCCTAGTTGTTTCCCTCCCAATCCGCTATCTCCGGCTATAGCCGAAGATTTAGAACATTGTGTATAATACCCGATGGTGATTGCGTTGACTCTCTTGTTTAAATTTTTAATCGCCAATCATTCTTACTACATCATTTTTGGTGTTCAATTATGTTCACAGTATCATAATTTTAAGATAGCATGGAGTTTTAAATACAAGGGCTGAATCACAGAAATGAGAAGAAAAAAAAAACAAGATTTCAACAGTAATGAAAGTTAAAAAACAATAAAGGAATGGTCATTTGAATAAACCACGGGTAGAACATAGGGATCAAATGAAATAGATGTACTCAAAGTAAATTTTCAAACAGATCGAAGCTCTTACTAATTTTCCTCCAAAATTTATTTACGTGGAGTCATTCCTTACGAATTCAAAAAGTCAAATACAAAAAATTTTCTATGGAATTTTAATCATATCGAATCTGTCCACAAATCCTTTGTTTCGATGTAAGGATGAAGCCACGTTGTCAACCTTTATTCTTTTTTTGAGCTTGTCAACCTTTATTCTGTCTTTGATTCGTGGTTGTTTTGTCAACCTTTATTCTTTGTTTGTCTGTCTTTATACTTCGCCCGTGGTCTTCATCTCGTCTTTGCGCAACGAACCGCCGATGGATGGCTGTAACATTGGGCTGGGCAGGCATGGCTGCGTCTCAAAATACTACTCCCTCCGTCCCACAATATAACGGATTTTGAGTTTTTCTTGCAACGTTTGATCACTCGTCTTATTTAATTTTTTTTGCAAATATAAAAAGTGAAAAGTTATGTTTAAAGTATTGTAGATAATAAAGTAAGTCACAAATAAAATAAATAATAATTTCAAAATTTTTTGAATAAGACAAGTGTTTAAACGTTGTAAGTAAAAACTCAAAATCTCTTATATTATGGAACGGAAAGAGTATCAGGATGGATGTATTCATAACTGGACCATTTCTGACCTCTCAGTGTCACAGTCGCATCCACAATGTCACTTGGCATCTACCGGATTATACCTCTTTATCCAGAAAAAAAAACCTATGATTTGATTAAAAATAAAAAAAATAAAACCTGATTCGTAGTTAGGATATGATTTATTTATTTATTTTTACTTATGGTGTACTCCCTCCATCCTTAAACATTTGACGTTGTTGACTTTTTTTAATATATTTGACCACTCGTCTTATTCAAATAATTATTAATTTTTTTCCTATCATTTGATTTATTGTTAAATACACTTTTATGTATATATATAGTTTTACATATTTCATAAAAAAAATTGAATAAGACGAACGGTTAAACATGTTTAAAAAAGTCAACGACGTCGAACAAAGGAGGGAGTATATATTTAGGCTCTGTGAATCTTGTTTTGACATTAAATTTATATTGATTCTTTCCTCATAAACGACTGTATATTTGATTTATCTATAAATACTATTAGAATATGAATTCCTTAGCAGCCATCTACAGTATGACCGATATGAACAACGGATTATATATCGACTGACAAAGCTCGCAACTATAAGTCGTTTTTCACCTCTGAAGTTGAAGCAATGGATCGACCTTGCTATTTTCTCCGATGTTAGCAGTACTACTCTGCGTTGGTATTGGTTGGTAATACTTGTCCTTTTCGATAAGTACTTAGTTTCCAAAAAAAAAACAAATTTATCATTATTTTTCTATTGTACTTTATTCCTCCAAAAATAAGTTAATCTAGTATGCGATGTGACATATCCTACTACGAATCTGGATAGTGTCTATAGAAATATCAACAAATAGATGATTTTTATTAAGGTATTGTTTTATGACTAATATATACATATGGTCTCCATATTTCCAAGGAACATATTTAGGAATTATTTGTAGTCAAACATTTTAAAGACCTCACCATTATCCAAAACGATAAATATTATCAACCTAGTAATATGTAATGAGAGTACTAACGGAACGTAGGAATCTTGCCATAAAACTTCAAAAGGGTTGTATAGCTTCATCGGGTTTCATCGGTTGAAAAAGACTTATTATAAACCGTAAATACTTATTAGAGACAAAAAAAAATAATTTGTCTATAATTTTTATAATTTTTATATGTGTTCTTAGCAACTTAAAAACCAATGTTGCAAAAAAAACTATGTTGAAAATATTTTAAAATCAACTTTAAAATTAGATTTGAAAATTTAATCTTTTACTTTGAGTTATTCTTTGTCAGACCTACCCATGGCTCACCGTTGCTAGCTTCACCTCAAATCCCCAATCCTAGATATTAATCCGTTTCACAGCTTCACCGTTGCTAGCTGCTAGCCAGCGACAAGCCCAGAACCCAGAAAGGAGGAACACTTTACACTTTAGATATTACTCTCTCCACCCCGTAACCGTCCTATAATATAGCAAACTAAAATCAAATAGAACACTACATAATGCAATAAATGCGGGCATAACTATATTATGAGGCAGAGTGAGTAATATTTATACATTTAATATTGTTAAAATACTCCTAGTTCATTGACCCTTCATCTACTAATTACACTTCCCCCTCCCATACCAAGTACCCTGCTTTAGAAAATGTGTGGATAAATAGATCATTTTAAAGGTGAGCATAATTCACACCTCTGGAATAGTTAAGACGTGTTAAAATACTCTTGGGTGAAACAAACTAAAAGAACAGAAACATAAATACGAGAAATAATGAACAGTAATTTAATGGAAAAGAAGAAAACATAGAGGCGCAGTACTCTGCAGTTAACAACGTAGCACGCTCACTTCACATTATCGGCTTATTGTCACCCTGAAACAATCTTTCACTCTACAACATCTAGGTATGGACTAATGATGACCAGCTAAAAAAATTAATGGCTGTATTGTACAAATTAAGATCCGAGATCTTGGTATGAGATGCTTGTATACATTGTAAGACCATGAGAAAACCGAAACTGAACTCTCGTCAGGCATAATCTTGCAGTAGAGACACTTGTTGGCTGACGATAACCCAAGGCCATGACCAAAAAACTTCGACAGGTTCCATCAAAGGCATTAACAAAGTCAAAGCTACGTACTTGCTGCTGCAGTGGTTTGCCCATCAGGCTGAGCTGGTGCTGAGGAGGTCCCAGAATCATCGTTCGCCACTGGAGGTGGTCCGTTAGCTGGGGTCCCATTGTCGGTGGCTGTTGTCCCCGCGCTCTCGTCGATCGACTGCTTTCTTTCGATGCCTTCCGATTGCTTACGTTCAATGGCTCCAGACTGTTTTCTCTCAATGCTGCCTGATTGCCTCCGTTCGATGCTGATCCCTGAGCTGTTGGACCTTGCAGGTACAGTCAGCAGCTGGCTGACTGCGTCGAATGTGCTTCGTCGCTCTGTGATCAATATTGCTCCATTGGGGTAGCATCGGCCAAAACATGCAGAGCAGTAAGGATATGCGACCTGCGAGGATAAATTAATATGTAATCCTTCTCTAGGTGTATAGAAACACCACCTGGTCATAATTTGGAATATTATTTGTTTGAGGAATTGGACAAAAATACTCCTTTTTCCAGAGGCCCCTTACCTCAATAAATGCCTGGCAAAGTGAAAGGAAAAGAGAGGACTCATTTCCACGCAGCATCCGCATGGCATTGTATCTGACTAGGGAGTCAGAAACGGCTTGTAATCCCTTCACCACCTCCTCGGCAAGTACATTTTTCAAGCTCAATGGTGCGCACGGTCTTAGCTCATTCATTGCCGCTGAAACACCTGCACAGAAAGTTAAAACAAATGACATATCAACTTTTATACAGCCATCACAACACATGACCATTAGATTCAACATGATGGTGTATAAATTCAATATTTCATTTAAGTGTAGAATTACCATGTGCAGGGGAATGAGAGGGAGAGAGAGATCAACAAAACTTACCATTGACAAAGACTGCAAGAGGTGGATGCTCCATTAAAACAGAAGGCGGCGTCACATCATCAGAAGTCTCATCCACAACTCCATTCGCTACAAAGCCAACAGATGGCATTGGAACCCAACGATGTGAATCCAGAACAACCTAACATGATAGAAGGTAAAATGGTGAAATTAAAATAATGTTTGAGGAAGAAAGTATAGACATTTGAAAATGTGGACTACAGCTGAAAACACTAAGTAAAATAGTACCATCTACCATGAAGCCTGTAACCTAAATTCATTCTATTATCTAGATAAGAAGTAAATAGCACATCCACATCGATAACGATTGTGCACATTTTGCATTACCTGAAAATTCTCGACTGCTGTACCCATGTTCTTTGAAAACAAATTTAACACAGCTCTGCATGCAGATAACATCATCAATAAGAATAGGTTCTGTTTGCAGCGTGAATACTCTAATAAAATTTACAAGAAAATGCTAATTACTTTTCAAAAATTGGTGGAAGTAAGCCACGGAAATCCAGTCCAACCAAGCCAAGGCCCATTGCACAATACTGCAAGATGAAACAAGTGATGCAAATTTATGATGAATCAAATGATCCCAATCAAACTCCTGTTACTCACTAGCAGAAGCTTACCATGCACTGTTCACGAATGTTGGAGAGAGAGCCACCTTCCGTTATATTTGGCAACATAACTTGAAGAGTGGTAAGATGATTACTTATTTGGTGCATTGCCCAGCTGAAAAGCAATCCACCATCGTAGTTCTCATCACTTCCGGACTTATCATTGTTGAATATTGCTCGATATTGATTGACAACATCAAATAGATGTGTTCTGTGGTAACCCACCATGCCTGTTAGATACCCATATACATTCCTTTGGTCCAGGTCATCAAGAATCCCAGAAAGCCAAGCTTCCCTGCATCTCAAGAACTAGAAACTATATCAGAATTAGGAGAGAGAAAAATACTCGATATGTATCATCCAATGAATTTGACTCAGTGAAATATCATTATTATCAATTAAAATTCCTCCAATAGTAGTTTGTAGTAATCTGGACCAACACTTTGAACTAAATGAAATGTCATTATTACAATTAAAATTCCTCCATTAGTAGTTTATATACTCTGGACCACCGCTTTGAAGTAAGGGTTTAGGGTAACAAATGAATTACTCATAAATTCAAAATTAAATGTAAAAGCATTATACTGACGTATAATTCTATTCAGATTATTCCCCGCAAAAAAAAAATCCAGATTACATCAGAAGTTCAGAATACCTGTAAACGCAATTCTGATTCACTGAACACTCCAATGCGGCGCAAATGTGCAACAATACGGAGGCATTCAGGCAACTGTAGACAGTCAAATGACCAGGAGTTAGACATAGATGTGCTAAGAGGAGACAAAACCAAGTAAATTTGGAAAAGAAATGAAATTAGTTGCACAACAAAGAACTCGGTTATATACAGGATACAATCTTTACAATGTTCAACTTGCATAGAACAGATGGAGCAAATGAAAAATACGATAATGGTTTAACCAATGACAGATTGTTAGTGCACCAACATAATCACCTGAATATTTGATCGAAGCTTCTGGAGAAGCTGAGAAATTAATGACTGTATTGTCTTCTTGACTTCAACAGCTAAGCCTTGGATAACAGGTAAACTTCAATCGAAAAGGCATACAGTTAAATTAATTGCAAATTACAAAGGCCATAATAAAGATTATGTCAAATGACTTACTCAGGGTGCAACTTTGATATTTTACTAACAAAGGCTTCCAGGTCAAGTGCCTCATCATAGTTCCCATTTCGTATACATCTGTGAGCATGTAGATTGTTAAATGTAATTCTTCATGATTCGTCAATTGTACAAATCAAACCATGTTTTACTGAACAAAATGGATCTGTAGCATACAGAAATTAGAGAAGAATCGAGAACTAAACAGCATATCAACAACATCAAACAACACAAGATGACTGAAGGTCTTTAAGAAATTATAAAAAAAAATGGCACATACGTGTCCATCAGTTGTGGGATTTCAAGCAGATCAAGCAGTGTGCTGTGATTGGCTAGTAATGTCTGATTGAGCTTCCTCTCTTCTAAAATTTGCTGTGCTGACTCAACAAACTCGGTGCAGCCAGATGTTAAATTCGGTATCTCCTCTATCTGTAATAAATAAATGTACAAAGTGCACAAAAAAGGGTCAAATATTACATGCCATACTGCTGAGAAAACCTAAATTGCATAAAAATGCATCTCACTAGACAATTTTTTTTAAAAAAAAAAGCATGAAGAAGAGAAAAGGTTGCATTGTTGGTCTATAGTATAACTAAAAGTCTAAAATAATCCACATGAAAAAAATCGGGATATGCAACTTTCAGAAGTCAGAAAATGTCTTAACTTGCACGAGCACAGAAGAGAGCACACCAACATCCATTGACAGAAAAAAGAAAAACATTTACCTAATTATTTGACTTTAAAAGCTGACTAATAAACAAGCAATCAGTGATAACAATACATTGCCATAAAGTGGTACCTCAAATCCAAGTCATTTTGCACAATCTTTACATGTACCTAGAAATCTCTCATCAACGCAAATAACAATGGCAGTGCAGAAAGTGCTCAAGGTGACGACAACACTCTGAACATTTTGGGCATCTGGAACAAGCTTCTAGGACGGCAGTAAGAAAGATCTATGTTCTACTAAAAGTGATCAGATCATCCTGTGGTATTATAAGTTTACAACAATACTAACTTAAAATTTCCAGTCAACTGCACCCCAACAGAAATATAGAGCACCAGATATTTTATAGAAGTTGCCATTAAAACCCCCATTAATTGATAGTGCTGTGGCTTATCCATCATAAAATCTGCATAAGATGAGACATCTAAACAACAACAATCTGATCTGCCCTAGATGTGAGAACAAGAACTCCGCTGTGAACCTTTTGAATGATTGAATCCATGAGCAAATATCCATGTCTATTTCATCCTATGAAACTAATGTCACCAGCATACCTGCAACAATTAGCAGTTTGGCTGTCCCTATAGAAGAGAAGCTAGTGCCATGGCATCCTGAGGTATGCTGTGATCTTTTTACACACGAATAGGTAGGACGGGATCGAAATTACACACTATCCCATCTAAAGTAGTGAAAGTACTAACTTTCAAGCTCTCTCATTGAGCCACGTAATAATTAAATGGGGACCGTTGGATACACCAAAAGAGGAAATATCAACCGTTGGATCCATAGACAGTTGTAGACTCATAGTCAACTAATCAACTTCCATGAGAACCTTCTGGAGTGTTCAAGCTGAAGCCTGATTGATCTCCAAGCAACCCATATCGAGAGAGCTAGGGACAATACCAATTAAGAGTCAAACAAAATCAAAAGAAAATGCTAAAAAAATTACTTGTCCCTGGTCTTGTAGGTTGCCAGATCCTCCTCGCCATGGTAAAAAGAAAAGGGGAAAAAAGAAGTGAGTTAAAAAAAATACAACATACATTCCTCCTACTACCTATGTCTCTAGCCTATAGGACGTCATAAAACCAAACTCTCTCATGTATTATCACGGCTAGCGATTTACGTCACAAGCTACTTATATTGACGAGACAAAGTAGTAGCGTGAACGATGGTACAAATGCATATATTACGACGGATATATTATGTGGTACTATGCAGACAAATATGCATTGGCTTGGAACATTGAATGTGCGAGGCTCTCGCATGAGGACAGATTCAATGTATTTAATTTGTCACAAATTCCAAATCTATTTTGTCTAAAAAAATCCAAATGTGTTTAGTTATTTGATCAACTGAGTCGTTCAAAACATTGTAAATATTAAGTTACCTAGAATTGTGTGTGTTAAAATGAAATTAAATCTAAGTTTTTCAATATTTCTAAGACTTAAGATAATTTTGGTTTGATATATGAATATAAGATTTCCAATAAATTTTACAAGTTGAGCATAGTAAAGGTTAATCATTGAGTATATTTTAGAAAACCACAATTATTTGTCAAAACTACCAGTTCGTAGCAGATTGATTTAGCTCATCATTTCTAAAGTTGTAGTAAAGTGATACACCAAATAATTGAAGTTCTATGAAATTTAACCTTAATTATTTATTGTCATCATAACATGGTCATCATAAATTAAGAAATTGTAGATTGACTTCCTTCAAACTATGTTCCCTAGACACTTATTTCTATTATTGATACAAATAGCATAGTAAGATATTAATTCCATAATAGAGATGGAGGTCATGGTCACGCGAACGCGTGACACCATTGGCTAGTATTAGTGAAAGTTCCTACATGGTACAGCCCACAGCAATCAATTACAGGCATTACCAAGCCCATGCAATTCTCAGTGGCCACCAAACTGAAATGGCCTGAGCAAGAAGAGAAGTCTTCACTGACTCAAAACTAATAAGATGAAAAATCAACCAGGGCCAGGCTATAATATTGCAGATGAAAACACAGAAGCAAATCTAAGCATTAAATTTCACGAACATCAAAGTCTGGATCTAGTTACTTCAGTCTACAGCATCAGGCAACAGATTTGGATCACTCGACATCCCATTTCCACCTGAAGCAGAACCATCAATCCGATCACTCCACCTCACATTGCCACACAACAGAGAAAGTGGGGGATCTACTCGTCCCAAATCACAGAGCAACCGTAATTTCTCGTACTACGGGACAAAAAGGGATCCAGCCGCATTACCAGTGCCTCGAGGTGCCTGTCGAACCCCTCGAGCTGCGCGCGGACGAAGGAGAGCGCCTCGGATGCGGCGATGAAGGCCCCGTAGTTCTCCACCGCCACCTCCTGCATCTGCCGCCGCACCCGCTCCGCGTCCACCCGCAGCAGCTCCGGCTCCTGCGCACCCACCACCACAACCCATCAGATCACCATCGCCATCGAGAAGAGGAAGCAGCAGCAGCAGCAGCGGGGGCGGGGGCGGGAACTACCTTGTGGAGGCGCTCGATGGAGAAGGAGAGGAGCTCGGAGACGTAGGGCTGGTAGGCGGCGCCGGCGAGCGGGAGGACGGAGGCGCCGGACATGTCGGCGGCGGCGGCGGAGGAGGAGGAGGAGGAGGGCTCCGGCGTGGCGCGGTGGCCGGCGTCGAGGACGTCCATGGCGGTGGGGCGAGATCTGGAGAGAGAGAGTAGTGGAGGAGGAGGAGTAGGAGGGAGAGGGAGAAGAAGGGTGGGGGATTTTGCGGATGAGACCTTGGGGTTTTTACTGATTTTGCACTTTGCTCCTTTGGAAAGTTTTGGACTTCTGCTTTGGAAATTTACCTTACAAGTTAGTACTCGTATTAGTTAATGTCCATTTTTCCATGTAGTCGAGAATATGATGGGATAAACATCTCAATAAATTCTTTTAGTAATAATATGGAATATTGTCTTTTATGTAGCAAATATTTAAAGCGAGGAAAAATGGCTATGATCATTGGAAACAGCTCCCGAGGCGGTTTTATTGGGTGGAATATAGGACATTTTTGTCAAAATTTTGAACCTCAGTTGATTTTTTTTCAAGTCGATAGGTTTTACTGAGTGGACACTGCATCAATATCGACCCGTTATTAAGGTGCTATAACCACTATTTCACATATACAACTCGTTATGTTTCCTTCGCTATTTTAACGGTGCAATATTGCGATGGTCTCCTACCGCTTTTGTGGATGCTACCAACCACTGTTTATTACATATATATTAGTATAATATATCAGCTACACACAAATACTATCTCAACACTGAATTTAGATTAAAAAATATCAATATCTAAACCTGCCAAACCCTAAAATAGTAGACTATAGCTAAACAATCAAATGATGGGTGGCACGGCTCCAGCTACAACTTCATATCTCTTAAACTAAAGCCCAACCAAATATTTTCATCTTTATCTAAATGGGAGTAGAACTAGCTGGAGCGTTTTCACAAAGGGTGTTTTTGTCAGCCCTATTTCAGCTGTGGCATAGCAATTTGTGTCACCGCAAGCAGCTGTGTCAACCAAACACACCTAAAATGAACTAACAGATATGGATGGGTTTAGATCGCTCCACAACTTTTCTCTAGATCTAACTTCTGAAGGTAAATTTAAAAGTTGAAGCCCTATCAAACAACTCGGAAGTAATTTGATGATAGCACAAGTTTATAACCGATGACAAAGCATGATCACTGCCTAGTACCTAGGATAAATTTTCATTTTTTGTGATCTTGAAAAGAAAAGGAAAAAGTACACTGAAGGTCCCTCAACTTGTCCTCGAGTTACAAAATCATCCCCCAACCGCAAAACCAGATACAACGCATCCCCCAACTTACAAAACCAGTGCAGAGTTACGTCCCTTGGCGGTTTTAACTCTGGTTTTATCCGACGTGGCAGCTGACTTAGCGCGGGACCCACGTGGGCCCCACACGTCAAGGTGACCACGTCATCATCTCCTCTTTCCCCTCTTCTCTCCCTTCATCCTCTCTCTCTCTTTCGGTAGTCCGCGTCCGTGTCGCCGCGCCCGGAACCGCCTGTGCTCGGCATCTCGGCGCGCTGGCTACGACGGAGACTACCATCCTGGTGCCAACACCACTGTACTCGTCTGCCTCGTCGCACTCTGACGGAGCTCGTGGCCCCTCACCGGGAGACTGCGCAAGCCCCCCTTTGCCGGTTCGACCAGGGGCTTAGGGTGCAATCTCAAGCTCTCTCTCTCTCTCTGTATGTGGAAAGATCACCCGCCCGCAAGACACACGAGACACGGTGATGTATACAGGTTCGGGCCGCTGCGAAGCGTAATACCCTACTCCTGTGTTTTTGTGGATTTGTGTATGGACAAGTTACAAAAGATTAACTTCCTTTCCCCTCAGCCTTCCAAAAGGGAAAAAGTCCCCTCTCTAAATGGGCAAGGTCCTCCTTTTATATCTCAAGGGGATACCACATGCACCTTTCTCTTTCCAAACTGGACTGTTCTTTTTCTCTTTAATGGGCGGAGATCGGTACGGTTTCCATCCGGGAGCCCTTCTGATGGGACAGCCCACACCTACCTCCACTCCTGCCGGGGGCAGGCGCGTCGTGGGAACGTGGCTGTGCGCTGACAACATGAGCAGTGTCAGACCGGTCACAAATCGGTCATTCTTGTCCACCGCGTGTCAGCTTAGCAACATGCATGTTTGCCCTTCTTCACACAACATCTTGCCTGTAATGGTTAGGATGAAGCCTGGTAAAAATCTAACCAGGGCTAACGTGCCATCTCTAAGAGATTACACGCTAGCTCCGGCTTGAGACGAGTGCCTAGAGGCTTTCGTCTTGATGGGATGGGGCAAGGCGTGCGTCAGACCGCCAGTCGCCACCTAACCCGTGATCTGACCGGTCTGTGTCTGGTCACAGACCGGATAAAGGAACGCGCTGCACTACGCTGCATGCAGCGTGACACGTTCGACCAGACCGCAATAAATGTGGTTAGGCGAGGCTTACCGTGTTCACCCAACCCATTCATGTGGCGCTAACTCCACAAGGGGTCGGGGCGCCTCGGCCCTCGGGGCCGGGGCAGGAGTCACCCGACCCCCCCTCGGGGAAATTAGGAGGAGGGCGGACACCTCACCCTCGGGCCCGACGTCCCCGAAGGTGCCAGGCCACGTGGGCGATTGTGTCTGCCTCAAGCCTCTGGTCACGATACTCCCGGTCCCATATCACCGACAGTAGCCCCCGGCGTTATGCCAGGGCGATCGCCCTTCTCAAGGGAAGCGGTCGGGCGTGACGCCACTCCTAAAGCTTGGTGACAGGTGGGACCGGTCTCCATGGTTGGGCAGAAACCCAACGGTCTCAAATCATGCACATCGGTAATGGTGACTTGGCTGTCCATAATGGGCGGTCTCTTGAAGACTGCCACATTACTTGAGCGACGCACGAATCTGGGCGAGCCGATTTGCTTCGCCTGGAGATATGGTGATGATGCTTTTCTCGGAGCCATCAGAATAGCGTATAGCATCTTCTGGGCCCGAGGGTATCGGGTTTTGGCGTCCCGGAGGTCCTCACTAACAAAGTAAACAGGCCGCTGCACCTTTCGGCGGGGCCGATCCTCTTCGCTAAGGGCCGTATCCCCGGGGTGCTCTTCGTCCAAGTGGCCTCTCGGGGCACACTCGTCTCCTGCGCTGATGACCTCGGGGTCCGAAGATGACAGGTGCGGCCTTCCCACAGTGGCCTCGGGGCCGCCCTGGGGGTCGGGGGCTCCTGGCGTCGTCAGACACGCGGGCAAAGGGCCAGCTCCGGTCGTCAGGGGCCTCAGGCCTCCGTTCGGCTCGGGGGCCTCTTCTCCCTGCTCTCTCCCGGGTCGAATCAGCACAGGGTTAGCCTCGGGGTCAAAGGGTGGTAGGTGCGGCCTTCCCGCAGTGGCCTCGGGGCCTTCCTGAGGGTCGGGGGCACCCAGCACCGTCTGACAAGCGGGCAGAGGGCCGACTCCGGTCGTCGGGGGCCTTAGGCCACCGTTCGACTCGGGGGCCTCTCCTCCCTGCCTGCTCCCGGGCCAAGTCGGCACAGAGTGGGGGTGCGCAGAATGAGGATTGTCCTCATCGCGCTCCACAACCAACGCTGCACTAACTACTTGGGGGGTCGCCGCTAAGTAAAGTAGCAGGGGCTCATTTGGCTCCGGGGCGACTAGAACCGGGGGAGAGCTGAGATATGCCTTTAACCGAGTGAGGGCATGTTCAGCTTCCTCCGTCCAAGTAAACGGTCCCGAGCGCTTGAGGAGCTTAAACAAGGGTAGCGCCTTCTCTCCCAGCCTTGATATGAAACGACTTAGGGCGGCCATGCAACCGGTAACGCATTGCACATCCCTAAGTTTGCTGGGGGGGCGCATCCGCTCGATAGCTCGAATCTTCTCGGGGTTGGCCTCAATGCCTCGGGCAGAGACCAAGAACCCGAGAAGCTTGCCCGCAGGTACACCAAACACACACTTATCGGGGTTCAGCTTTATGCGGGCGGAGCGGAGGTTCTCAAAAGTTTCCGCTAGATCTGAAAGTAAAGTTCCTTGGTTGCGCGTTTTTACAACCAAGTCATCGACATAAGCCTCAACATTACGTCCTATTTGGCTACCCAAAGAAATTCGAGTAGTTCGTTGAAAAGTAGGACCTGCATTCTTTAACCCGAAGGGCATTGATGTATAACAATAGGTTCCTACGGGGGTAATAAACGCAGTTTTTTCCTCATCCTCCCTAGCCATGCGAATCTGATGGTAACCAGAGTATGCATCTAGAAAACACAAAAGGTCGCACCCCGCAGTGGAGTCGACGATCTGATCTATGCGAGGCAGGGGGTAAGGATCCTTAGGACATGCCTTGTTAAGGTCGGTGTAGTCAATGCACATCCGAAGCTTGCCGTTCGCCTTGGGAACGACCACCGGGTTCGCCAGCCACTCCGGATGGATGACTTCACGGATGAATCCGGCCTCGAGAAGCCTCGCCACCTCCTCGCGGATGAAGGCTTGACGTTCCGGGGCCTGCCGCCGCACTTTCTGCCGGACCGGCCTTGCGCCCGGCCGCACGGCGAGACGGTGCTCAATCACCTCCCTGGGGACCCCGGGCATGTCCGCTGGTCTCCATGCGAAGACGTCAGCGTTTGCCCGCAGGAAGGAGACGAGCGCGTCTTCCTATTTGCCATCCAGAAGACCACCGATCCGTGTGGTCTTGGATGGGCCGTCGCCCAAGGCAACCTCCTTGACCGGGACCTCGTCGCATGTGGCAATCCGCTGCCTCGGGGCGGTGGGGGCGGAAGTGCCAAGCCTCTCGTCACCACCCTCGGGCTTGGTCGCAGCAGCGAGGTGGTCCGCGCGCTGCTCCATGCAAGCGAGCGCGACTTTAAGGTCGCCACGGACAGAGATGGGGCCACCGGGGCCCGGCATCTTCATCTGGAGGTAGGCGTAGTGGACCGCCGCCATAAACTTCACCAACACGGGCCTCCCCAGGACCGCGTTGTAGGGCAGACTGAGGTCCGCCACATCGAAGTTCACCCGCTCCGTGCGGAAGTTGGCTGATCCACCAAAGGTGACCGGTAGGTCGATGTGACCTAACGGCCATGTGTGCCCCGGCGTCACACCGATGATCGGTTGAGACGGCTGGAGCACCATCCCCGGGGCCTTGATAGCATCAAAGGCCGCGGGGGAAAGGATGTTGAGAGCCGCTCCTCCATCTATGAGGACACGCCCCAACTTCACATTGCAGATGGTGGGGGAAACCACCATCGCAATCTGCCCTCCCCGGGCAACACACGGTGGGTGGTCGGTCTGGTCAAAGGTGAGGGCCACCTCCGACCACCGCGCCCGACGCGTCGCCTCATGAGTAGGGGCCGCGGCGAGAAGCTCTCGCCTCATGGCCTTGAAACTCCGGCGAGAAACGTGAGCACACGCTCCCCCGTCGACAGTGGCAATGGTGGCCCCAGGTTCTTGGAAACCTAGGTCATCATCACCGTCATCGATGTCAGCGGCGGGGGCCTTCTGTTTGGCCTCACTTCGCCGTTTACCGGAGGGAAATGCCGCGGACTTGCCCTCACGGCGTTCCTGCCTCCTGTCCTCCTCCCACTTCCTCGTTCGCTCAGCCAAGTTTTTGACTGCGCGACAGTCCGCGAGATCGTGGAGGGAGGTGTTGTGGACGGAGCACCACTTGCTGGCTGGGCGCTCCCTGCTGGGAGTACCAGCCTCTTTCTTTTTGTCGCTCGCAGGCCTCCCCTTTCGGGTGGCCCGCGGAGCGCCCTCGACGGCGAGGACGTGACCCTCGTCGCCGGAATGGACCGACCTTTTCTTCCTCCTCCTGTCACGCCGCCCTGTCTGAGCGGCGGATCCGGGGGCGGCCGAAGCTGCCACACCGGAACCGGAGGGGTTCCAGGTCCAGGCCTCCTCCTTACGAGCCACTCGGTCCGCGAGCTGAAAAAGCTCTGCGGTAGTCTGGGGCTCTTTGGAGGCAATCTTTTCGAGCATGCGGTTGTGCCGCACACCCCCCCTGAACGCGTAGATCACCGCGTGTGCAGGGATGCAAGGTATAGTATTGCGGACTTGGCAGAAACGCTGAATGTACGAGCGAAGGGATTCATCATCCCCTCGCTGTACTGCGTGCAAGTCCGCTTCTTCACCTGGGCGTGGATAGGTGCCTTGAAAGTTCATGGTGAACTGTTGGCACAGATCCTCCCAGGAGTGGACCGACGCGGGTGGCAGGTTCATTAGCCAACCCCGCGCCTGTCCCTTCAGGGCCATGGGAAAGAAATTCGCCATGACCCTGTCGTCTCCCCCAGCGGCCTCGATCCCGGTCGTATAGACCTGGAGAAACTCGGTGGGGTTGACGCTCCCATCATACTTCTCGGTGATGGTGGGCCGGAACCTTGGGGGCCAACGGACATTCCGAAGACTCGCCACAAAGGCTCTACAGCCAACACCACCAACCGGGGGCACGGAGGGCTGATCCTCACGTCCATGTCGAGGTGACACCCTGGACGAAGAGGCACCCTCCGTTGCGCGGGGAGTACGCCGATCACTACGTCGACGCTCGATGTCGAGGCGGGCATCCGGCTCTTCATGCTGATCCTCCCGAGTCGGAGGCGCCGACGAGGGAGTGGTAGCCGAATGGCGTGCAGCAGCCGCCGCTCGCCGCGCCCTCCGTCTTGACGACGCGGAACCAGTAGTGGCGGCGCCGGAGGTCTTGGTGGTGGCGGACCGTCCGCCAGCACCCAGGCGTTGCTGTGCCGTCATGACCAAGTTGGCCACGTCGTCCAGCCATCGCTGGGCTGGAGACTCCGGGTCAGGGACGACAGGCGGGTGACGTAGGAGCGCGCCAACAGCCTGAAGCGCGCCCTGAGGCGTGCTGCCGTCGCCGTAGACGAGGAGGCGACGCTCCCCATCTCGCCGTTCTCCTGCACCACCCGCGACTGGCGATGCTGCGGATTTTTTGACTCTCTCGAGCGCCCCCCCCCCGCTTGGGACTTTGGCGTGGAGGAGGTGGGGGAGTACGAGCTCGACGGCGCGGGTTTGGCTCCCCGTCGTCGCCGCTCACACTCGGAGAGAGGTCGTGCGCCTTTGCTTGCTCAGCCATTAGGCTGGACAAGGGAAGCTTGGCGCACACGGAAGAGTGTGAGAGCTCAGAAAACACACACTGAGCCCCCTACCTGGCGCGCCAGATGACGGAGCTCGTGGCCCCTCACCGGGAGACTGCGCAAGCCCCCCTTTGCCGGTTCGACCAGGGGCTTAGGGTGCAATCTCAAGCTCTCTCTCTCTCTGTATGTGGAAAGATCACCCGCCCGCAAGACACACGAGACACGGCGATGTATACAGGTTCGGGCCGCTGCGAAGCGTAATACCCTACTCCTGTGTTTTTGTGGATTTGTGTATGGACAAGTTACAAAAGATTAACTTCCTTTCCCCTCAGCCTTCCAAAAGGGAAAAAGTCCCCTCTCTAAATGGGCAAGGTCCTCCTTTTATATCTCAAGGGGATACCACATGCACCTTTCTCTTTCCAAACTGGACTGTTCTTTTTCTCTTTAATGGGCGGAGATCGGTACGGTTTCCATCCGGGAGCCCTTCTGATGGGACAGCCCACACCTACCTCCACTCCTGCCGGGGGCAGGCGCGTCGTGGGAACGTGGCTGTGCGCTGACAACATGAGCAGTGTCAGACCGGTCACAAATCGGTCATTCTTGTCCACCGCGTGTCAGCTTAGCAACATGCATGTTTGCCCTTCTTCACACAACATCTTGCCTGTAATGGTTAGGATGAAGCCTGGTAAAAATCTAACCAGGGCTAACGTGCCATCTCTAAGAGATTACACGCTAGCTCCGGCTTGAGACGAGTGCCTAGAGGCTTTCGTCTTGATGGGATGGGGCAAGGCGTGCGTCAGACCGCCAGTCGCCACCTAACCCGTGATCTGACCGGTCTGTGTCTGGTCACAGACCGGATAAAGGAACGCGCTGCACTACGCTGCATGCAGCGTGACACGTTCGACCAGACCGCAATAAATGTGGTTAGGCGAGGCTTACCGTGTTCACCCAACCCATTCATGTGGCGCTAACTCCACAAGGGGTCGGGGCGCCTCGGCCCTCGGGGCCGGGGCAGGAGTCACCCGACCCCCCCTCGGGGAAATTAGGAGGAGGGCGGACACCTCACCCTCGGGCCCGACGTCCCCGAAGGTGCCAGGCCACGTGGGCGATTGTGTCTGCCTCAAGCCTCTGGTCACGATACTCCCGGTCCCATATCACCGACACACTCGAATCCCGAGAGCATTGCCGAGGCCGAGGCTGACGCGAACGCCGACTACGAGGAAGGCGGAGCACTCGTGCTCCCACCGGAGGTGGGTGAGAGGAGGAGGGCAGGAGAGATAGATGAATCAGCGGCTCCAGCTCCGCGAAGCCATCCCTCACAGCCGCGCTCGTCGCCGACTCCACCCCCACCGTTGCCTCCGCTGTCGGAGCGCCGGCTCGTCGTGCTACGTGCGCACGGGGCGACCGTGGCGTGGTGGTCAGGGGACTGATTCAGATAAGTAATATACATGCATAACCCCACAATCAACTGCTAAAACCACAAACCCAGATCCCCAAATCGACACATGTATGACAAGAACTGATCCATCACTAGTGCAGCAATTAACCCAACTGCAGAAACGACGGGCTACACTTGCACCTCGTACTGAACATTCCGGTGAAATCAACAATCAAACAAACATGTTGATCTAAGGAAAGGCACTAAGCTTCAAAGAAAACCGTTGAAATGTCCAGAACTCCAGATCCCCTAGAAGCAACCCACCCAACAACAGGAAGTAAGCCAAACCAAACAGGGAAGACAGGAGAGGAGGTTAGCAGGTGGTTACTAATGGTGGCTTTGCCGTCAGGGAACTAGACCATCTCCCTTGGTGCCGAGGAAGGCGTGGAGGATGCGCGCCACGGCCTCGCCGGCGGCGACATTGGCCAGCCTTCTGCGCGTCGAGTACTCGAGTCGAGCCTCCACAGCGCCGGCTCGTCGTGCTACGTGCGCACGGGCGACTGTGCCGTGGTGGTCAGGGGAGTAGAGCAGTATCTCTACATCGTCGTCGCCGCCGCCTCCCATGTCGTTGCTGTCGCCGCCGCTTGAGAAGGGAGGCGGGAGCCTCCACCTCCAAGGGGCTCCGAGTCCGCCAATTCCACCGCCGCGGGCGCCCGGAAGCCCCGCCTCCACCTCCGTGCGGCCGTGCCCACCGCCGTGGTGCCTGGCCCCGCCTCTGCCTCCGCCTCCGCACCCAACGCCGCGGCGCCCGCCCGCGCGGGGCCGCTTCGCCGCCGGCGGCGACGCAGCGTCGTCGACGCCATTCGTGACCGGCCGCCGCCCTCGCCTTCTCCGGCGTCGCTGCCGCCTCGTCGCCTGCCGCCTCCTCCTTTCCCCCGGCAGCCTCCGCCTCAGCCGAGAAGAAAAGAAAAGAGCGAGAGAGAGAAAGGAAGGGAAGAGAGAGGGTGATGACGTGGCGACGCTGACATGTGGGACCTAATGGGTCCCACGCTGACTCGACCGCCATATAGGACAAAACCAGGTTCAAAACCACCCAAGTACCTAAAATGAATGGTTTTGTAAGTTAAGGGATGTCTTATATCTGGTTTTGTGGTTTTGTGGTTAGGGGATGATTTTGTAACTAGATGACAAGTTGAGGGACCTGCGGTGTACTTTTTCTAAAAGAAAAAGGAAGAAAATGAAGCCCAAAAACAGCGGCAAAAAAGAGGCCTCTTTCCCCAGCCCAAGCCCAAGCCCAAGCCTAATCGCTGGTACGAAGCACAACTGCACGAGAGCTTTTCCTCGCGATTTCCAGCGCCGCCGCCCGCCGCGCCGCCTTCTCTCGCCTCTAGGGTTCCGCCGTTTTCCGCGGCGCGCCACCGCCGCCGCGGCGCCGCCCGTCACCGCAGGAGCCGGCAATGAAGCGTCCACCGCCACGCGAAGACGGCGCTGGAAGCGGAGGAGGAGACGGGGCCAAGAAAGGGAAGGGGAGGTGGGGCGGCGGAGGGAGGAGGCGGAACGAGCAGCGGCTGGGGAGCGGCGGCGGCGGCGCCCTGTCCCTCGCCGCCTTCGCCTACGCCAAGTCCAGGAACACCGGCTACAACCCGGCCCTCATCAGTGAGTAGTACTACCAATCACTAACTATCCTCGCGCCCCCTTGATCTGATTTCGACCAAGAAACTAGAGGCTAGAGCATCATTTTTTTCGACCAGGGTGCTCGAGGATTTGGTGGACGCGGATTAACTGATTAGTTATGCACCATTAGTTACATCGTGGATCACATGCATTCGTGTGCAAAGGCTTAGGATTGAAGAAAGAAAAAAAACCAGTGAATTTGTTGTTGGTATTAGTTTGGTCAGAACACCTTGATTAGGGACTCGGTTCTGTACTAAATAAACTTTGTGGCCAGATCGCCGGAGTTCGGGAAGAGGTTGGTAAAGTTTAGTAGGAAATTAGCGAGTGCATTTTTCGAAGAACTAATGGAACAGAACTAATAGTAGAATTGGCTCAGTTTGGTCAGACCTCCTTGATTAGGGAGGGAATCAATTGTGTGCTAATAAACTTGTGACCGGAGTTTGGGAGTAGGTCAGTTAAGATTAGTAGGAAATTGGGAGTTGCATTTTTCGGAGGCCGTAATTGAATAAGAGAATAAAAATCCGTCTAGGCTGTTCAGGCTAGCAACTGATTAGGCGTTTGTTCCTTTTGGTTCAAGAATAATTTGACGGGGAAAATGCATCCAATTCGCTCATGTAAAAGCGGACACAGTTATCTGTAGTCATATGCTTGCACGAAGGAAGATGCATCGGCAAACAATGCATATTATTCGATCTACTTAAACATGTTCGACCAAATGATGGGGGGCACTAATTCTTAAAAGTGGAGTTTCCATAATATTTTCTTTGTTTCAAAAGTTTTACATAAACCGTCTCGGTGTCTATGGCAATTTTTGTTATTTGGTTTCTGATATAACAGTGTTCTAAGTTGCCAATGGAACTATTATAATATTAGCCATTGTTCTTATCCGCAGAGAAGCAGAAAGAGTTCTACAAGAATGCTAAATTGATTAGCAAGTACAAGAGGTCAAAGAAGCAACAAAATCAGTCAAGCAATCCTCCACCATTTCCAATTCCAAAGGTAATCTTTGACATCATAACTATTTTCAGTTATAATAGTTCAACCAAAGTGGATAAAGATTCTATATTAGGATTCCTAGATAATATTTAAGCTCAAACCTGGCAATAACTGTTGTTAATATATACTGATAGTATTTAAGCTCAAACCTAGCAATAACTGTTGTTAATATATACTTTTACAGATTAGGCAGTTAAGATGTTTTAATGGCTTAATGCAATTTAAACTTGTAGGAAGGAGGTGATGATGCAAACAATGCATCAAAGCTGCATAGCAAGAAGAAGAAGCGCGTTGCACCAAGCTTAAACGAAGAGTATGAGAAAAAACGGGCAGAGGATGAGAAGGCAAAGAAGGAGCGGGAAGCGATAATTCAGGCAAAGAGGGAGGAGCGGGAGAGGTCTGAAGCAAGGCGGAGAGATTTAAGGGAGAAGATGTTCAAGAAAACAAGATCTGGGCAGCCTGTGATGAAATACAGGATCCAGCATCTGTTGGAGACTGCATTAGAAAGCTCAAACAAGTAAATGTTGCTACAAAAATGCTGTACTGATTGCTATAAGCAAATTTTGTAGATCAATGCAGTGACCTGTTTGTTTCAACTGGCTTCTGTAACTCTAGCACTCTACCATGTAAATCTTTGGTGATTTTCATTTCCATGCTGATGGTGCACGCACTTTTGGTTTCTCTCTCATACGATGCAAGATGATTGGATAATAAAGAAACAGAGATGACTGGATTGCCAGTGATGATACCAGTGCTAATTCATGCTAGGAGTATCTTGATATATAATATCTCAATGGAGATGTTTGAGTTTGAGAATTAGGCCAAACTTAATACTAATCTCTTTTCTAAACTAGCATTGAAATGTATATAAAGTGGTATGCATTACTTCAATTAGTATGCAGCACTTGGAACATCATTCTGTCAACGCAAATGATTAAGTATTTGCTTCATTTGCAAGAGTGACCCAAGTTGCAAACTAGTGTATAATATTATCATCAATATGTCACATGACAAACTATTTGACTAACAACCATAAGTATTATCACCATGCATTATTTCAATCAGTGTGCAGCAGTTGGGACTTGGGAGAGACTTTGGATCGTTCAGTCAACGCCCTGATCAAGTCTAGTATTTGCTTCATTGGCAAGGGTGACCCAAGTTGTCAATTAGCATACACTGTCAGTAGTATGTTCACCTGACAAACTATTTGACTACTAATGACAGCCATAGTACTACTATTATTGACATGTTTAATTGTTCAGATGAAACAGTTCTGCTATTAATTTACCGGTCAACTAATTTTACGTTAAATTTGCAGGGTGTTTTTTTTTTAAAAAAAATGAATTCGCTCATTCTGCACGATCTTGAATGATTGGTTGAAATAGGTTTAAGACGTTACAACTCACCAAACCAACTTGTTCTTAGCATTAACTCTTCTTCCTTGAGCTATCTAACTAGCTTAGCTAGCTATCAATTTCATCAGCCATGGCCGAGCGGCGGCGGCGAACTAATGACAAACTATTTGACTACTAACGACAGCCATAGTACTACTATTATTGACATGTTTAATTGTTCAGATGAAACAGTTCTACTATTAATTTACAGGTCAACTAATTTTACATTAAATTTGCAGGGTGTTTTTTTTTAAAAAAAACTACTTCCTCCGTTTCATATTAGAGCGGGTACAATAGCAGACTATTAGCCAGCTATAAACATATTTTAATGAGATAAAAGATGAGAGAGAAGAGCAGTGAGATACAGATCTGTAGCCAGCTGCAGCACGGACTTCAAGACACAGTGTGTGTATGATAGGTGGGACCATATATTAATAGTATAGTAAGTAACTATTGTATGAATTGGCTATTAGATTGGCTATAGGTGAATTGGAGCTAGTAATGGGCTATACTATTGAACTTGCTCTTATAAGACTTTCTAGCATTACCCACATTTATATACATGTTAATGAATCTAGACATATAAATGTGTATCTACATTCATTAACATCTATATAAATGTGGACAATGTTAGAAAGTCTTATAACTTAAAACGGTTATAACGGATGTGGTATGAATTGCTCTCATTCTGCACGATGTTGCATGATTGGTTGAAATAGATTTAATTAAGACGTTGCAACTTACCTAACCAACTTGTTCTTAGCGTTAACTCTTCTTCCTCGAGCTATCTAGCATTCTAGCTAGCTAGCTTAGCTATCCTTGAGGTTTCACTTGTTGATCGATTTCATCAGCCATGGCCGGCGGCGGCGGCAGCGAGGAGGAGGGGCACAGCGCGTCGGAGGCGGCGAGCATCGTGTTCCGCATCGTGACGGTGGGGCTGTCGCTGGCGTCGGCGATCACGACGGCGGCGTCGACGCAGTGCGTCCGCGGCGACGACGGCCGCGTCGCCGCCACGGACTCGTACAGCGACTACCACTCGTTCAGGTACGCGGCGGCGGCGGACCTGGTGTCGGCGGTGCTGCAGGGGGTGGCGATCTACCTGGAGGCGGTGAGGAAGGAGGAGGCGGCGAGGGTGGTGGAGCTCATCGACAAGCTCGTCCAGGCGCTGACGTCCTCGTCGGCCGCGCTGCTGCTCGCCGTCGCCGACATCACCTCCTGCGGCCTCCCGCGCTCCTCCCGCAGCCGCGGCGGCGGACGGCGGCAGGGCGGCGGCCTCTGCAGCCAGCCCGGCCGGTTCTGCGGCCAGGTCCGCGTGTCGTCGGCCTTCTCCCTTCTCGCCGCGACCTCCTTCTCCGTCTCCGTCTACACCAGGCACGCCGCCAAGCGCGCCGCCGCCGTCACGCCGCCGCCGACGACGAAGAAGAAGAAACCGCAGTCCTCCCGTCGTCCGCCCTCCAGGACACCTCCACCGGAACGACGAGAGTCCCCTTCGCCGCTGAGGGGTCGTCCGCGCACGCCGCCGCCGCCGCGGCCGCGGCCGCCGACGACGCCGCCGCGGCCGTACGTGGGGTGCCCGAGGCTGACGATCCCGTGCAGCTGCGAGAACCCCGAGCTGTGCTCCGCCTTCTTCTAGAATATTCTAGAAGCTACACCACGCCGCGCCGCCGGATGCCGGCGATGGAAGCTTTGTGTATTACAGCTAAATTACCTACTGCTTCATTTTTTTTTTGAAATATAATATATCAACATGGTAATGTGCTTTTGTCTTAAACTATATTTCTATAGTACGGAGTATAAATTTTCAACATCCTAGCAAGATTCTTGAAATTAATTACTTATATATGTACTTGTAGTTTCGCTCATTTCGCCTTAATTTTCAATTAAACATATGTATATGGTAGATTGTACTTAATTTAAGATTTTCAATTGGCCTAATGAAATTCTCGCTTCTACTTCCTTCGGTGCTTTTTAATTTCACATATTTTACTGTTTTTTACTTTGTAGAAACTTAGGACACCATAGTGTCACTTACCACAATTTTGATTTAGATTTAACTTGTTGTAATTGCATTTATTTTAAAAAAAATATAGTGAAAAGCAGGAAGTCCAATTATTTCTTCATTTTGCCGCCCCTTCATTTTTTATTTATTCAGTGTTCTACTACTCCAATCATTAATATTTTGGCCAAACAAAGGCTATCATATCAATTAAGCTAATCAGCTAGCCACAGCTTTAGAAATAAAGAGTGACAATTTGCCGTCTGGTTCATTGGACACGCGCTTGATAAAATGTCATCATATAAGTTGCAATTTCTAGAATGTCATCCATCTAATTGGTTGCCACCTTGATGAGATTTGCTAATTTGGAGGTTTTCACCATTTTGTTTACATATTAGATTAGGGATTTTGTCCCTCAGATTACGGATTGAAGGAAACCAAATCCGTTGTGGCCTTGTGGGGGGTTTTAAACTATTTGCCACTCCGTACTATCCAGATGTCAATCTTCCAAATTTTTTTTACATAAATAAACACAGGAGAGAGAGGTTTTCCCTAAAATTAGTTTGCCATGTTGTCGCCTCCGCATGTTCTATCATCCCAAGGTAGGACTGAAAACGGGGCGGGTATTTCCCGACCGCCCGCCCGGCCACATTATTTCGGGTCAAATTCGGGTCGGGAATTCGGGTACCCGGACCCTTACACGGATACAGGGTTCGAATACGGGTAATTTTTTGCGGATATGAGATCGGGTTCGGGAGAGCGGTATCCGACGGATACGGATTATCCGGGAAATTATGCGGGTATTACCCGATAATCTATCCGTATATTACCCGGATAGATGGACAGCAGCCCAACAGGCTGTTAATTACATATTTATGTGTTGCATTTAAAAATATATTTTGGACCTGCAATCTTTAAATGAACAATCTGTTGGTTCCACTTTGGATTTTGAGAGAGTTAAGGAGCACCACATTATATTAACTGAATGTTATGTTCTTTTTAGGGTCAGGCAACGAATAGTGTTTGAAGCTGAGCATGTTGCTGATTGGAGAGCTGGAGTTTTTGGTGATTGAATCTGAACATGCTGGCCTTTGGGATGACTGTATTGGTAATATGTGATCAGTAGTCATATAAGTGTATCTTTTGGCTTGATTGTATACCTTATGTGAACTACTTTGGTACTACTTAGTAGTTAGTACTATTACTTATGGAGTTATGGTGATGCTCTTAGTATTTACTAGTATGATACTACTTATTATGGTGAACTATAGTGTACAGCATTGAGTCTGAAGCTATCAAGCTATGAATGTCTACTTTTGCTACTACTTTGGTACAGTTTTGCTGATAGGCATTACGATGCCATAAGCCCCTAATATATTCATAATAGACATATAGGAAATGGCTGAATGGCTATTGTCTATGTGGTATATTTGGTTGTTGCTTTGACTTGATATCTAAATAAATATTCGTAATCGATAGAGTTCGTATCCGTCTTGGTACGTATTCGTTCCGTATTTATGCCCGATATTATCCGTGCTTCTATTCGTATCCGATAATATCCGTGCCCGACCCGATTCCGATTATAAAATATGGGTTAGGATATGGGAAGGATGAGATCCGACCGAACCCGACCCGATTTCACCCCTATCCCAAGGCATTGATGGTGGTGGCTGCTCCTCTTGGACAGTGCCCCTCCCCCACCGCTCCAAAGCAAAAAGGGCGTATGCAAAAGGATTTTTTATATGATTTTTAAATGTATTTCTTGGTTCCAAATGGACACATAGGAAAAATAATTCATAAGGTTTTTAGTTAAAAATGTGTAGTAAGGACTAGATGGGTCGTGACCCAGTATCCTCATTCATAGGCATCATTCATAGGCATGTATCTTAAGCTTCTCATCACAGTATGGTTCTTTAGATACTTTCTTCCTTATAACTTCTTCCATTTTAAAATATAAGAGATTTTGATTCGATGTGACATACTCCCTCAGTCCAAAAAAAAAACCCTGGTTTTCGTGTCCAACGTTTGACCGTTCGTCTTATTTGAAAAAATTATAAAAAAATTAAAAAGACAAGTCACGCATAAAATATTAATCATGTCTTATCATCTAACAAAAATGAAAATACAAATTATAAAAAAATTTTATATAAGACGGACAGTCAAAGTTGGACACGGAAACCCAGAGTTTGCCTTTTTTAGGACGGAGGGAGTATCTTAGTAGTATGCATCTGTTTATATACTACTCCCTCCATCCCATAATACAAATGATTTTGAGTTTTTGCTTGCACTGTTTGACCACTTGTCTTATTCAAAAAATTTGTGCAAATATAATAAACGAAAAGTTGTGCTTAAAGTACTATGGATGATAAAGTAAGTAAAAAAATAAATAATAATTTTAAATTTTTTTAATAAGACGAGTATTCAAACAGTACAAGTAAAAACTCAAAATCTCTTATATTATGGGACGGATGGAGTATATTGCAACAAAAGGGAAGGGAGTATTTTTTTAAAAGAACTCTTTTAAATCAAATCTTTTAACTTTGTAGTAATATTTAATCATTTAGGACATCTAATTTAATTATTCCAACCAAAGTTTTAAATCTCCGGCTAAGCCTCTTAGCTGCTGACCTTCTCAACAGCTAAGCACAGCTATAGCTGGAGATAGCTGTAGCTAAGCCATTTAGCTGTTTTTGCAAATAAATAAATAAATAAAAGACATGATCTTGGCATAACTTCATAACCATTACCAATTGATACATAACCAGTTCAAATGAGTACATTACAGGTTCATAGGAGTACATTACATCACAGGCTAAGTGGTTAACAGAATACTGAAACATCAGTTTCACAAAAGTACAACATTACACAAAGGTCATCAAGAATTCTGGATAGTGGATACTAAATTACTAATATGAGGCAATATTGCAATCTTCATTTCTTCTAGTCATCAATCATCGGTCTCAGAGACATAGGGAGAGGGAGAGGGTAACTTATCAGAATCAGAAGTATGCATTGGAATACCATCATCACAATCTTCTGAGTCGGATGATGGAGCTTCAGGATGCACTGGGGCATTGCGCATCAAAGACTGTAGGCTTCTGACTTTCCTCTTCTTAGTGTGCACAGGCCTTTTCCTTTTAGCTGGTGCTGGTGCTTGTGGTGTTGTGTGCTGCTGTGACTCTTTTGCACATTGTTGATCCATTTCACTTGATGAAGGCACAACACCAGTAATGAATTCATTGTCACCATCTGCCACAACATCATCCACTTCCTTCTCTATAGGATCTCTACCCTTGTTCTCTCTCTTATTTCTTAACTTGGAGTTAAATTTAACAAACACCAGATCTCGCATCCTTTCATGAAGTAGCCTGTTGCGCTTCTTTGTATGAACCTATAAGCCAAGTAGTGAACACAAAGCTGTAGGTCAGATCTAAATTCCATAAATAAGCATTATAATTCAAAATAGACAGCATGCACATAAAGCTACAGGTCACAAATTTCTTTTTACCTGTTCAAAAACTGACCAGTTCCTCTCACAAGCTAAGGAGCTGCAGGTCAAACTCAAAATCCTTGCAGCCAACTTCCTAAGATTTGGTGTGCTTGTGCCATGGTTCAGCCACCATTTTGCTGCATAAACATTACACAAATTACAACAAAAATGATATTCAGCAATAAAATTAAGTTCACATGTTGAGATCTGAACCTGGATTGAAATTTTTGTTCTTTCGCTGCCTTACGGCAATTTCGTGTCCAAAACTCCCATGCTGATCTTGATACAAGTTGAGTCCTTCAATTATTTTGTCTTGGATATCTTCATCATCAACCAACTTGTCAATACAGGAAATCACACCTGCTCTAAATGATCCATCACTCTCGATCTCTTGCTTATTTGGGTAGTAGTAGTAGGGGTTCAAATAGTACCCAGCCAGGTGTAGTGGAGTCTTGAGCTTGTTGTCCCATCTTTTATCAATGATATCCCAAACTTCTATGAAGCGGCTCTTATCATTATCGAATCTCTGAGAAATTTCTTTCTTCGCCTCAAGCATTAAACCATGGAAGAATCCCATTGATGGTACATCGCTGTCCATTCTTCTCAACACGTTAGCCAATGGCTCAAAGTAATTAACTGCAATGTCAACATTTTTCCAAAAGGTTTCAGATCTGATCACTTTGCTGGCTTTCTTCCCCTTGGCCTGCTTCAAGTAACCCAATTGCTCCATCTCATCTGATTTAAATAGTCTTACTAACTCTTTTTTGTTGTCTAACAAGCTTTTTAGATTCAAATAAGCTGTGGCAAATCGTGTAACCCCAGAGCGAACCAAGTCTCTGTTAAGAAACTTTCTCATCAAATCCAACACCCTAGTATGAGCATACAAGAAAACAGTCACTTGTCTTGCATTAGCAATGGTTTCCTCAACTGGTCCAAGCTTCCCAATATCCTCGAGCATGAGATCCAAGCAATGAGCAGCACATCCATTCCAAAATATTGATGGTCTTTTTGCTGTCAATAGACTTGCTGCAGTTGTGTTGACGCTAGCATTATCAGTCACCACTTGGACAACATGTTGTTCCCCTATCTCTTCTATGTACCTGTCCACAAGTTCAAAGATATATTTGCCATCTTTCCTGTCACCTGAGCATTCCACTGAATCTAAGAAGAGTACCCCATGAGCACTATGCACAACTAAATTCATCACTCCCCTACCCTTCCTATCTGTCCATGCATCTGTCATGATAGAACAACCTGTGAGCTCCCATGATTCCTTGTGCTCCTTGAATCCATCCATCACCTGTTCCTTCCTTTTCTCTAAGAACGATCCACTCATCTCATAGGGACTAGGCCCTTTCAGACTTCTACCAAATTGTCCAATGGCCTCTAACATATGAGCAAAGCTAGGAAGGGTTACTGTGTTGTGTGGAATACTAGCTTCATAGAATCACTGACATATGTACTCACAAGTTCTATTCCTCCTCTCTTCTCTTTTATGAGTTGTCAATGCTGTTTGAACCTTATTGCTTAGCTTAATTACTCTTTGTGTCATACTGGCAGATTCTTCTATAGAAGGAGGCTTGTAGTACTTGTCAATAGTATGACCACCTGCTACAGATCTAGAGCTACTAGATCCTGTTGTCTCCTTTGGCTTCACCACAAGAACATTATTGCCATGATCTGAACCTTCACTGCCACTTTCACAATCTGAATTTTCTATGTCAACTTCAGCTCTGGCCACTTCCTTTTCTTTGTTTTTCTGTTCCTTTTCACTAGTCTTCTTGGTAAGCAAATCAAACATCTCTTGCTGCACTGGACTTGGAACTTTCTGACACTTAGTAGTATTGAAACCTTTAATTCCAGCAAGATGGTACTTAATTCTTGTAATTCCAGCAGTGCAGACCTTGTCACAATACTTGCACCGTAGGTGATGTTTCTTGGTTATGTCTGGGCAGAAACAGTGAGCCCATGCAGGATCATCTGAGTTGATACCAGCTTGTTTTGGTCCAGCTTCTACTGAGACAGAGGCAGCACTGGACGGATTACCTATACAAAAAGCAAACTTAGCCCACATTAATGCTAGCGTCAAAGCTGCCTAAGCATCAAAATAATGCAAACTGATATAGCACGTATTATCATTACCACCTAAACAGGCGAAACAAGCAAACGAGAGATCTCAGGGAGTAAGAAAATAATTCACATATAGTAAGATCTACATCATAAGGCAAGTATCTGAAATTAGAGGTAACAAATATTGACAACTTGTTCACATATTGTAAGATCTGCAACATACAAGCAAAAAAGAGAGGAGGATGTGAGAACTGACCGGATTGTTGTGCCATGCCGTCACCTTTGGTGCTGCTGCTTCAGTGCTTCGGAGACGTTGCACTGACGGACCTCCTCGTCGGACTTGCGCCGCTGCTTAGTTGCCTTCAAAGCCGCCGCCGCTGGTTGGACGCCCGCTCGAAGCAGCAGCCGGCGCCGGTCGCCTCCACGAGCCGCCTGCGTTGGTCGATCCGCTTGAAGCCACCGCCGCCGCCGGACGCCTCTGCGCCGCCGCCGCCGGCCGCCTCCACTTTTCTTGCAGCTGGAGAGTGAGCGCTTCGAAGTTGGAATGGATAGTGTGCTGCTGGGAGCTTACGAGCTAGGGTTTGCAGCACTTTACCCACCTCTCGACTCTGGTCTAGTTGGGCCGGTTTCCTCTTGGGCCAGACTGGCCGCGTTTTACAATTTAGCTACGCTAAATTACAGCCAGTTTAGCGGCTATTGCCGGCTAAATGGCGCTATTAGCGTCCCGCTATTCTTAGCGCTAAAAACTGCATCTCTTAGCTCCGTCCGTTCCCAGCAGCTATCTCCAGCTATAGCGGCAGCTATAGCCGGAGATTTAAAACTTTGATTCCAACATAGGAGTATCATACATTCAAAACATTTGTGTGTGTAGAGGTGACATCCTGACAGGTGAGCTGCAATGCCAAAACTTCAGCAGGCCAAAAAAAAAAAGGAAAAAAAAACACTAACCATGAGAGCAGAGCCTGCGCCTCCTTGTCTTGTCCCTTTGGGAAGAGAAGCCCCTTTCCCAAAGTAGCAACTTCTTTTGGTCTCTCAGTCTCCACTGCCACACCCGCCATGGCCACCCCACCCCTGCACCCTTCCATTTCCAGCTTCACGACAACCACCAAAAGCCGACCTCCTCCTCCTCTCTCTCTCTCTCCTCTCTCTACTGAGCCGCCTGAGCAGCAGCTCACATGGCGCTGCAGAACACCACAAACCAAAACGCCAAAGCCAAAGCTGCCCCTGCTCTGCTTCTCCTCCTTGTTGAATAATCTTTGACGACGCTCATGGCGGGAGGACGCGGGCTGGAGCTGTCGCTGGCCTGCGCGGCGCCGAGCCCGGCGGATTTTGGGGAGGAGGAGGAGGAGCTCCGGCGCCCGCCTCCGCCGCCGCGGTGGCAGCAGCAGCCGACCATGGCCGCGCTGCTCCCCGGCATCCGCTCCCGGGTTCGTCTCCTCTCTCTCCTCGCCTCGTCGTCTTCTTCCTCCGGTTTCTTGGCCAACGGCGGCGAGGGAGATCGTCGTTTGATCTTGTCAATGGGTGGATGGGGGAGATCGTCGTTTGATCGGCATCTTGATACTCCATCCTTTCCATAATATAAGGATTTTGTGTTTTTGCTTATAATGTTTGACCACTCGTCTTATTCAAAAAATTTATGCAAATATAAAAAACGAAAAGTTGCGCTTAAAGTATTTTAGATAATAAAGTAAGTAAAAATAAATAAATAATAATAATCCTAAATTTTTTTAATAAGACGAATGGTCAAATAGTGTAAGCAAAAACGCAAAATCTATTATATTATAGGACGGAGGGAGTATATATTATCTCAATGGAGAGAATTAGGCTAAAATTAGGGTCTGTTTGGTAGAGCTCCAACTCCCAACTCCTAGCTCTAAACTCCAACTCCAGTTGGAGCTAGCTTCATAGGAGCTGTAGGTGGTCTGAAAAGTGTTTGGCTAACTTGCTCAGCTATAGAGATCCTGAAAGAGATGATAGGGGGTAGATAGACAATACTACCCTTGTGTTTTTTCACTGTTGACTTTATGTAGGATTAATAATATGCACTTTTCCAGCAAAATTTCATCACAGTGGCTTATTTCCCCTCGTCGTTAATAATTTCAACATGTTTAGTAATTCTATAATAATTCAAAAAATTGGTACTCGAAAAAATTGATACTCAAGTTGTTGCATGACATGTATTTAATAATATAAATGTCTAGTAATAATAACTAGAAGCATTGTCATCGAAAGATAAAGCAAAAGACCACGGAACAACACAAAATATGGCATATGTCCATCATCCTGCAATACAACCGGCTAGGTCATCACGAAATACATCCATGGATACATCACTTTGACCCTCAGTAGATGTATCCGATGCATCTTGAGAAAGCACATATCTCCTAAATCTAGATGGAATGGTAGGCACATAATCTGGATTCCTCTCAAACCTATGAAAATGCCTATCCGGTGCATCATGATCACGAATGAAATTATGCAATGCCATTGTTGCCGCCACAACCATTTTCTGTTTCCACATTGGAAAGCTAGGTATTTTGAGTAGAATCCACCACTTCATCTTCCATACACCAAAGCATCTCTCAATGATGGTGCGCAGACTCGAGTGTAAGAAGTTGAATTTTTCTTTCTCACCACTCGGTGCTGTACCTCTTCGAAATTCTGGGACATGGTATCTTTGTCCCTTATATGGCGCTAAGTACCCTGGGCAATTTGGATAGCCAGCATCGACAAGATAATATTTCCCTAGAACACAAATGTATAGAAATATATCAATTTATATACTCATTTGAAAAAAAAACAAAAACCAAGACATAGCAAGTGTTATTTACCTTGTGGAGGATGAGGAAAGATAGTTAAATCAGTTTGAAGTGCAGTAAATAACACGGTTATGTCATGCATTGACCCAGGTTGCCCAATAAATGCATAGGTAAATCGCATATCATGATCACAAATAGCCATCACATTTTGAGTTGTTGATTTAGATCTACCGATATATCTAATCTTCTCATCATCTGGAACTACTGCAAGGATATGAGTCCCATCAACCGCTCCAATACAATCTTTAAAATGTGACCACATGCGACGATCTTTCCTAATTCTGTCATGGGCAGTAGGAAAGTTTGGATCCTTTGGACGTACAATGTCACGTCCCAAATCCACCACGGCATAGAGAACTTATTCAAATTTTCTTGAAATTGTCTCACCAGAATGCTTGAAACGGTTTTGTGCTCTTTGGTTTGATGAACCATCACCTAGTATGTAGAGAAAAATTGCAAGTGCCTCTAATGTGTGCATGTGCATAGTAGGTTCCAACTTATATTTACTAACCAAACGATCATGTAATGCAACAAAGGTGTGGCCATTCATACGAAGCATCTTGTAGCATTCACCTGGTGTGGCCAAAGTTTCTTGCACCCATCCCATTCCGCTGAGGCGTGATGTCCTAGGCTCAGCCTTATTCAAGTAGAGAGAGTAATAGTTCTTTGCAATTCTTCGAGTTGTAGAAAAATTGCCTACAGCAGTTTCAAACAATTCCATGGCAAGCAAATCAAATTCATATTCTTCATCTGAAGAACCATCTTCACTATCACTTGACATCTACACAATAAGAATAAAAAAAATATTAGAACACAGATATATCAACATTCATAAATATATAGCTGAAAATAAGTCAAACAGTAATGCGTAACAAGTTCAAAGTAGGTCTGAAAATAAGTTCACATTCATAGGCATACACCATTAATCAACAAGGTGATTTTATCCAACAACAGTGCATGACATAGGTACTCAAGTTCAGAACTGAATACAACTCAAACAAACAAAGTGATACAACCCATAAATTGTTCACAATTAAATTTAACCCATACAAACATATGTCTCAAACACATGATAGTTCTGAAATGCATTGACAGAACTTGATTAAAGGGATACAATTCATAGCCACACCACATTCAACTAATTTCCGTACTTCACTTCATACTTCTTCTTAAGCCATGCAAAGCGACCTGCAGGAGTGCACAAAGAATTAACAAACATTTCCCTTTGATCCTTCTTGATAAATATTTCAGTTGCAATGAAATGTTCATTTGTCCCTTCAACGGCACAACATTCCTCCACCAAGGCCATAACATCCTTTATAGAACAACCCGGAGGATCCTCTCTTGTTTTAGTGAAGGACTGAATGGATGACAAAGTCTGTGCAGAGAGTTCATTACTCTTGGACATCTCCTCTACCATCTTTTGAGATCCACTCTTGCTCTTTTTGGACTTATCCACCTTTGAGCCACCACCTCTCTTTCGTTTTGCACTTGGTTCATCATCCTCCGTCTCTTCATCAATCTCATTATCATCAGCAATATGAATTGCCTCATTGGTGGGTGTTGGTATGGTGCTTTGCCCTAAAGACCAATGGTCGGCACCGGTATTGCGAATATCTTCAAACATTTTCTGCAGTAGCTCTTCATTTTGCAAGCCAGCTTTCATAAACTTGGTGCATCCTGGTATATCCTACATGACATGGCATTATAAAATGGTTTAGAACAATTAATTTGGCACAATAGTTATCAATTTAACACAATATTTTCAACTACTTACTCCTTTCAGTTGCTTCCAATGTTCCACAGTAGCTGTAACAGTTTCCTTTGTGTTATCCCATCCTAATCCTGTTTGAGATGTCAACTTTTTCCAACAATTGTACTCAACCCTATGCTTATCCCACTTATTCTTAATTTGAAGTCTAGTGTACCTTAAACCTGTTCTTACTGCAAATTTCTCAATGACTTCATTATACCCAGGATTAGATAAATGGGTATTTGGACGATTAGCCGCAGCTACTTGCTCAACAAAAATCTCACAGACAACTCTAGTGTTGTAGTCATTCCAATCAGCAGAGTCCATGGGCATTTTAACACCCTTCGAAGGCACATTTTGAGCCATGCCTGTCATCCACTCACTCACACCAATCTTTTTTTCAATACTAACATATATCATAGGTTCAAATTTACTACTAAACATATATCATAGTTACTACCCATACATGACATGAGCAGAAATTAAAGGTATACAAATCAGTTTATTTTGCAAGATAACATGAGCTAGCAGCACGAAAGTGACATGAGCAAAAATGAAATGAGCCAGCAGTAGAGTACATGGACATATCCTTGTGCTTCAACAATGATTAAAGGAGCCAGGCAATCAAAATGCTCATGAACAGCACCACACAAAATTTTTTTTAGGCCCTTGTGACATACAAGGGTGGTAAAGAACAGCAACAGAGGCTCAAAAAGGAAATCTTGCACACAGTGGTAAAAGGAGATCTTGCACACAGTGGTTTACTAGGGTTTAGGATACCTTGCACACAGATCTGGAGAAATACTTGCAAACCGCCACTGTCACCGTGATCCAAACCCTGCCGCCGTCACTGTGCTGCGTCCACACCGAAAAACGCTGTCGCCTACACACCAAAAGTTTCTGTCACCTCGAGAGAGAAGGGAGGGAGAGGGAGCAGCGGCACTGCCGCGCGCTGAGAGGAGAAGGGAGGGAGAAGGGCGCTCTACCGCCGTGCGCCGAGAGGAGGAGGGAGGGAGCAGCGCGCTGCCGTGCGCCGTCGCAGTCGCCGCCGCGTCGAGGAGGCAGTCACCGCCGCCTCACTCGTCTCCCCTCTCTCCTTTCGCGATAAGGCCCGAGGGAGACGGCTGGATGAGAATGCCCGAACCGGTTCGGCTGGATAGGGTAGTGCGATGGCATTTTCTTGTAAATTCGACGAAAGGGGATGGGTGGCGCTGTAATTATTTTCGGAGTGGAGCTGTGGAGCCACGTTTTGGCCGCTCCATCTCGCTAGTACAAATTGTTGGAGCAATTCATCCCGCTCCGCTCCAAGTTTTGGTGAATCTAGACCGTTCGTCATAGCTCCGGCTCCAGGTAAGTTGGAGTTGGGAGCTAGTGCTGTGCCAAACGGGGCCTTAATATCTTGTTCTAACTAGCATTGAAATGTATATAAAGTGGTATGCATTATTTCAATTAGTATGCAGCACTTGGAACATCATTCTGTCAACGCAAATGATGAAATATTTTCTTCATTTGCAAGAGTGACCCAAGTTGCCAACTAGTGTATAATACTATCACCAATATGTCACATGATAAACTATTTGACTAACAACCATAAGTACTATCATCATGCATTATTTCAATCAGTGTGCCGCAGTTGGGAGAGACTTTGCATCGTTCAGTCAACGCACTAATCAAGTATTTGCTTCATTTACAAGAATGACCCAAGTTGTCAGCTACTAATATACTGTCAGTAATTAGTAGAAGTATGTTCACCTGACAAACTATTTGACTACTAATAACAACCAAAGTGCTTCAATTCCTTTCCATCACATCAACCTGTCATACATACACAACTTTTCAGTTGTATCATTTTTAATTTTAACCAAAATCCAAACTTTACGCTGAACTAAACACAGACTAATTTTGCATTAAATTTGCAGGGTGTCAATTGAATTTGCTCATTCTGCACGATGTTGCATGATTGGTTGGAATAGGTTTAATTAAGACGTTACAACTTACCTAACCAACTTGTTCTAGTACAGCCACTACTAGCTCCAATTCATTTATAGCAAATGTAATAATCAATTCATACAATATATACACTTACTATACTATTCATATATGGTCCCACCTGTCATACACAGTGTGTCTTAGAGTGCATGCTACAGCTGGCTACAAATTTGTAGCGTCTTGGAGTCCATGCTACAGCTGGCTACAAATCTGTAGCCCGCTGCTCTTCTCTCTTATCGTTTATCTCATTAAAGTTGGCTAGCGTTAACTCTTCTTCCTCGAGCTATCTAACTAGTGTAGCTAATAGCTAGCTATCAATTTCTTCAGCTATGACCGCCGGCGGCGGCGGCGGCGAAGGCGGCAAGGAGGAGGGGCACAGCGCGTCGGAGGCGGTGAGCATCGTGCTCCGCATCGTGACGGTGGGGTTGTCGCTGGCGTCGGCGATCACGACGGCGGCGTCGACGCAGTGCGTCCGCGGCGACGACGGCCGCGTCGCCGCCACGGACTCGTACAGCGACTACCACTCGTTCAGATACGTGGCGGCGGCGGACCTGGTGTCGGCGGTGCTGCAGGGGGTGGCGATCTACCTGGAGGCGGTGAGGAAGGAGGAGGCGGCGAGGGTGGTGGAGCTCATCGACAAGCTCGTCCAGGCGCTGACGTCCTCGTCGGCCGCGCTGCTGCTCGCCGTCGCCGACATCACCTCCTGCGGCCTCCCGCGCTCCTCCCGCGGCGGCCGCGGCGGCCGCGGCGGCGGACGGCGGCAGGGCGGCGGCCTCTGCAGCCAGCCCGGCCGGTTCTGCGGCCAGGTCCGCGTGTCGTCGGCCTTCTCCCTTCTCGCCGCGACCTCCTTCTCCGTCTCCGTCTACACCAGGCACGCCGCCAAGCGCGCCGCCGCCGTCATGCCGCCGCCGACGACGAAGAAGAAGAAACCGCAGTCCTCCCGTCGTCCGCCCGCCAGGACACCTCCACCGGAACGACGAGAGTCCCCTTCGCCGCCGAGGGGTCGTCCGCGCACGCCGCCGCCGCCGCCTGGTTCACCGAAGAAGCCGGCGACTCCGGGCGCGGTGGTGGTGGAGCAGCCGGGCCCTCCCACGGATCACCGCGAAGCAGGCGAACTGGTCATGGTGGACGTGGTGGTGTGGCCGCCGACGATGCCTCTTAGCTGCTGACCTTCTCAACAGCTAAGCACAGCTATTGCTGGAGATAGCTGCAGCTAAGCCATTTAGCTGTTTTTGCAAATAAATAAATAAATAAAAGACATGATCTTGGCATAACTTCATAACCATTACCAATTGATACATAACCAGTTCAAATGAGTACATTACAGGTTCATAGGAGTACATTACATCACAGGCTAAGTGGTTAACAGAATACTGAAACATCAGTTTCACAAAAGTACAGCATTACACAAAGGTCATCAAGAATTCTGGATAGTGGATACTAAATTACTAATATGAGGCAATATTGCAATCTTCATTTCTTCTAGTCATCAATCATCGGTCTCAGAGACATAGGGAGAGGGAGAGGGTGACTTATCAGAATCAGAAGTATGCATTGGAATACCATCATCACAATCTTCTGAGTCGGATGATGGAGCTTCAGGATGCACTGGGGCATTGCGCATCAAAGACTGTAGGCTTCTGACTTTCCTCTTCTTAGTGTGCACAGGCCTTTTCCTTTTAGCTGGTGCTGGTGCTTGTGGTGTTGTGTGCTGCTGTGACTCTTTTGCACATTGTTGATCCATTTCACTTGATGAAGGCACAACACCAGTAATGAATTCATTGTCACCATCTGCCACAACATCATCCACTTCCTTCTCTATAGGATCTCTACCCTTGTTCTCTCTCTTATTTCTTAACTTGGAGTTAAATTTAACAAACACCAGATCTCGCATCCTTTCATGAAGTAGCCTGTTGCGCTTCTTTGTATGAACCTATAAGCCAAGTAGTGAACACAAAGCTGTAGGTCAGATCTAAATTCCATAAATAAGCATTATAATTCAAAATAGACAGCATGCACATAAAGCTACATGTCACAAATTTCTTTTTACCTGCTCAAAAACTGACCAGTTCCTCTCACAAGCTGAGGAGCTGCAGGTCAAACTCAAAATCCTTGCAGCCAACTTCCTAAGATTTGGTGTGCTTGTGCCATGGTTCAGCCACCATTTTGCTGCATAAACATTACACAAATTACAACAAAAATGATATTCAGCAATAAAATTAAGTTCACATGTTGAGATCTGAACCTGGATTGAAATTTTTGTTCTTTCGCTGCCTTACGGCAATTTCGTGTCCAAAACTCCCATGCTGATCTTGATACAAGTTGAGTCCTTCAATTATTTTGTCTTGGATATCTTCATCATCAACCAACTTGTCAATACAGGAAATCACACCTGCTCTAAATGATCCATCACTCTCGATCTCTTGCTTATTTGGGTAGTAGTAGTAGGGGTTCAAATAGTACCCAGCCAGGTGTAGTGGAGTCTTGAGCTTGTTGTCCCATCTTTTATCAATGATATCCCAAACTTCTATGAAGCGGCTCTTATCATTATCGAATCTCTGAGAAATTTCTTTCTTCGCCTCAAGCATTAAACCATGGAAGAATCCCATTGATGGTACATCGCTGTCCATTCTTCTCAACACGTTAGCCAATGGCTCAAAGTAATTAACTGCAATGTCAACATTTTTCCAAAAGGTTTCAGATCTGATCACTTTGCTGGCTTTCTTCCCCTTGGCCTGCTTCAAGTAACCCAATTGCTCCATCTCATCTGATTTAAATAGTCTTACTAACTCTTTTTTGTTGTCTAACAAGCTTTTTAGATTCAAATAAGCTGTGGCAAATCGTGTAACCCCAGAGCGAACCAAGTCTCTGTTAAGAAACTTTCTCATCAAATCCAACACCCTAGTATGAGCATACAAGAAAACAGTCACTTGTCTTGCATTAGCAATGGTTTCCTCAACTGGTCCAAGCTTCCCAATATCCTCGAGCATGAGATCCAAGCAATGAGCAGCACATCCATTCCAAAATATTGATGGTCTTTTTGCTGTCAATAGACTTGCTGCAGTTGTGTTGACGCTAGCATTATCAGTCACCACTTGGACAACATGTTGTTCCCCTATCTCTTCTATGTACCTGTCCACAAGTTCAAAGATATATTTGCCATCTTTCCTGTCACCTGAGCATTCCACTGAATCTAAGAAGAGTACCCCATGAGCACTATGCACAACTAAATTCATCACTCCCCTACCCTTCCTATCTGTCCATGCATCTGTCATGATAAAACAACCTGTGAGCTCCCATGATTCCTTGTGCTCCTTGAATCCATCCATCACCTGTTCCTTCCTTTTCTGTAAGAACGATCCACTCATCTCATAGGGACTAGGCCCTTTCAGACTTCTACCAAATTGTCCAATGGCCTCTAACATATGAGCAAAGCTAGGAAGGGTTACTGTGTTGTGTGGAATACTAGCTTCATAGAATCACTGACATATGTACTCACAAGTTCTATTCCTCCTCTCCTCTTTTATGAGTTGTCAATGCTGTTTGAACCTTATTGCTTAGCTTAATTACTCTTTGTGTCATACTGGCAGATTCTTCTATAGAAGGAGGCTTGTAGTACTTGTCAATAGTATGACCACCTGCTACAGATCTAGAGCTACTAGATCCTGTTGTCTCCTTTGGCTTCACCACAAGAACATTATTGCCATGATCTGAACCTTCACTGCCACTTTCACAATCTGAATTTTCTATGTCAACTTCAGCTCTGGCCACTTCCTTTTCTTTGTTTTTCTGTTCCTTTTCACTAGTCTTCTTGGTAAGCAAATCAAACATCTCTTGCTGCACTGGACTTGGAACTTTCTGACACTTAGTAGTATTGAAACCTTTAATTCCAGCAAGATGGTACTTAATTCTTGTAATTCCAGCAGTGCAGACCTTGTCACAATACTTGCACCGTAGGTGATGTTTCTTGGTTATGTCTGGGCAGAAACAGTGAGCCCATGCAGGATCATCTGAGTTGATACCAGCTTGTTTTGGTCCAGCTTCTACTGAGACAGAGGCAGCACTGGACGGATTACCTATACAAAAAGCAAACTTAGCCCACATTAATGCTAGCGTCAAAGCTGCCTAAGCATCAAAATAATGCAAACTGATATAGCACGTATTATCATTACCACCTAAACAGGCGAAACAAGCAAACGAGAGATCTCAGGGAGTAAGAAAATAATTCACATATAGTAAGATCTACATCATAAGGCAAGTATCTGAAATTAGAGGTAACAAATATTGACAACTTGTTCACATATTGTAAGATCTGCAACATACAAGCAAAAAAGAGAGGAGGATGTGAGAACTGACCGGATTGTTGTGCCATGCCGTCACCTTTGGTGCTGCTGCTTCAGTGCTTCGGAGACGTTGCACTGACGGACCTCCTCGTCGGACTTGCGCCGCTGCTTAGTTGCCTTCAAAGCCGCCGCCGCTGGTTGGACGCCCGCTCGAAGCAGCAGCCGGCGCCGGTCGCCTCCACGAGCCGCCTGCGTTGGTCGATCCGCTTGAAGCCACCGCCGCCGCCGGACGCCTCTGCGCCGCCGCCGCCGGCCGCCTCCACTTTTCTTGCAGCTGGAGAGTGAGCGCTTCGAAGTTGGAATGGATAGTGTGCTGCTGGGAGCTTACGAGCTAGGGTTTGCAGCACTTTACCCACCTCTCGACTCTGGTCTAGTTGGGCCGGTTTCCTCTTGGGCCAGACTGGCCGCGTTTTACAATTTAGCTACGCTAAATTACAGCCAGTTTAGCGGCTATTGCCGGCTAAATGGCGCTATTAGCGTCCCGCTATTCTTAGCGCTAAAAACTGCATCTCTTAGCTCCGTCCGTTCCCAGCAGCTATCTCCAGCTATAGCGGCAGCTATAGCCGGAGATTTAAAACTTTGATTCCAACATAGGAGTATCATACATTCAAAACATTTGTGTGTGTAGAGGTGACATCCTGACAGGTGAGCTGCAATGCCAAAACTTCAGCAGGCCAAAAAAAAAAAAGGAAAAAAAAACACTAACCATGAGAGCAGAGCCTGCGCCTCCTTGTCTTGTCCCTTTGGGAAGAGAAGCCCCTTTCCCAAAGTAGCAACTTCTTTTGGTCTCTCAGTCTCCACTGCCACACCCGCCATGGCCACCCCACCCCTGCACCCTTCCATTTCCAGCTTCACGACAACCACCAAAAGCCGACCTCCTCCTCCTCTCTCTCTCTCTCCTCTCTCTACTGAGCCGCCTGAGCAGCAGCTCACATGGCGCTGCAGAACACCACAAACCAAAACGCCAAAGCCAAAGCTGCCCCTGCTCTGCTTCTCCTCCTTGTTGAATAATCTTTGACGACGCTCATGGCGGGAGGACGCGGGCTGGAGCTGTCGCTGGCCTGCGCGGCGCCGAGCCCGGCGGATTTTGGGGAGGAGGAGGAGGAGCTCCGGCGCCCGCCTCCGCCGCCGCGGTGGCAGCAGCAGCCGACCATGGCCGCGCTGCTCCCCGGCATCCGCTCCCGGGTTCGTCTCCTCTCTCTCCTCGCCTCGTCGTCTTCTTCCTCCGGTTTCTTGGCCAACGGCGGCGAGGGAGATCGTCGTTTGATCTTGTCAATGGGTGGATGGGGGAGATCGTCGTTTGATCGGCATCTTGATACTCCATCCTTTCCATAATATAAGGATTTTGTGTTTTTGCTTATAATGTTTGACCACTCGTCTTATTCAAAAAATTTATGCAAATATAAAAAACGAAAAGTTGCGCTTAAAGTATTTTAGATAATAAAGTAAGTAAAAATAAATAAATAATAATAATCCTAAATTTTTTTAATAAGACGAATGGTCAAATAGTGTAAGCAAAAACGCAAAATCTATTATATTATAGGACGGAGGGAGTATATATTATCTCAATGGAGAGAATTAGGCTAAAATTAGGGTCTGTTTGGTAGAGCTCCAACTCCCAACTCCTAGCTCTAAACTCCAACTCCAGTTGGAGCTAGCTTCATAGGAGCTGTAGGTGGTCTGAAAAGTGTTTGGCTAACTTGCTCAGCTATAGAGATCCTGAAAGAGATGATAGGGGGTAGATAGACAATACTACCCTTGTGTTTTTTCACTGTTGACTTTATGTAGGATTAATAATATGCACTTTTCCAGCAAAATTTCATCACAGTGGCTTATTTCCCCTCGTCGTTAATAATTTCAACATGTTTAGTAATTCTATAATAATTCAAAAAATTGGTACTCGAAAAAATTGATACTCAAGTTGTTGCATGACATGTATTTAATAATATAAATGTCTAGTAATAATAACTAGAAGCATTGTCATCGAAAGATAAAGCAAAAGACCACGGAACAACACAAAATATGGCATATGTCCATCATCCTGCAATACAACCGGCTAGGTCATCACGAAATACATCCATGGATACATCACTTTGACCCTCAGTAGATGTATCCGATGCATCTTGAGAAAGCACATATCTCCTAAATCTAGATGGAATGGTAGGCACATAATCTGGATTCCTCTCAAACCTATGAAAATGCCTATCCGGTGCATCATGATCACGAATGAAATTATGCAATGCCATTGTTGCCGCCACAACCATTTTCTGTTTCCACATTGGAAAGCTAGGTATTTTGAGTAGAATCCACCACTTCATCTTCCATACACCAAAGCATCTCTCAATGATGGTGCGCAGACTCGAGTGTAAGAAGTTGAATTTTTCTTTCTCACCACTCGGTGCTGTACCTCTTCGAAATTCTGGGACATGGTATCTTTGTCCCTTATATGGCGCTAAGTACCCTGGGCAATTTGGATAGCCAGCATCGACAAGATAATATTTCCCTAGAACACAAATGTATAGAAATATATCAATTTATATACTCATTTGAAAAAAAAACAAAAACCAAGACATAGCAAGTGTTATTTACCTTGTGGAGGATGAGGAAAGATAGTTAAATCAGTTTGAAGTGCAGTAAATAACACGGTTATGTCATGCATTGACCCAGGTTGCCCAATAAATGCATAGGTAAATCGCATATCATGATCACAAATAGCCATCACATTTTGAGTTGTTGATTTAGATCTACCGATATATCTAATCTTCTCATCATCTGGAACTACTGCAAGGATATGAGTCCCATCAACCGCTCCAATACAATCTTTAAAATGTGACCACATGCGACGATCTTTCCTAATTCTGTCATGGGCAGTAGGAAAGTTTGGATCCTTTGGACGTACAATGTCACGTCCCAAATCCACCACGGCATAGAGAACTTATTCAAATTTTCTTGAAATTGTCTCACCAGAATGCTTGAAACGGTTTTGTGCTCTTTGGTTTGATGAACCATCACCTAGTATGTAGAGAAAAATTGCAAGTGCCTCTAATGTGTGCATGTGCATAGTAGGTTCCAACTTATATTTACTAACCAAACGATCATGTAATGCAACAAAGGTGTGGCCATTCATACGAAGCATCTTGTAGCATTCACCTGGTGTGGCCAAAGTTTCTTGCACCCATCCCATTCCGCTGAGGCGTGATGTCCTAGGCTCAGCCTTATTCAAGTAGAGAGAGTAATAGTTCTTTGCAATTCTTCGAGTTGTAGAAAAATTGCCTACAGCAGTTTCAAACAATTCCATGGCAAGCAAATCAAATTCATATTCTTCATCTGAAGAACCATCTTCACTATCACTTGACATCTACACAATAAGAATAAAAAAAATATTAGAACACAGATATATCAACATTCATAAATATATAGCTGAAAATAAGTCAAACAGTAATGCGTAACAAGTTCAAAGTAGGTCTGAAAATAAGTTCACATTCATAGGCATACACCATTAATCAACAAGGTGATTTTATCCAACAACAGTGCATGACATAGGTACTCAAGTTCAGAACTGAATACAACTCAAACAAACAAAGTGATACAACCCATAAATTGTTCACAATTAAATTTAACCCATACAAACATATGTCTCAAACACATGATAGTTCTGAAATGCATTGACAGAACTTGATTAAAGGGATACAATTCATAGCCACACCACATTCAACTAATTTCCGTACTTCACTTCATACTTCTTCTTAAGCCATGCAAAGCGACCTGCAGGAGTGCACAAAGAATTAACAAACATTTCCCTTTGATCCTTCTTGATAAATATTTCAGTTGCAATGAAATGTTCATTTGTCCCTTCAACGGCACAACATTCCTCCACCAAGGCCATAACATCCTTTATAGAACAACCCGGAGGATCCTCTCTTGTTTTAGTGAAGGACTGAATGGATGACAAAGTCTGTGCAGAGAGTTCATTACTCTTGGACATCTCCTCTACCATCTTTTGAGATCCACTCTTGCTCTTTTTGGACTTATCCACCTTTGAGCCACCACCTCTCTTTCGTTTTGCACTTGGTTCATCATCCTCCGTCTCTTCATCAATCTCATTATCATCAGCAATATGAATTGCCTCATTGGTGGGTGTTGGTATGGTGCTTTGCCCTAAAGACCAATGGTCGGCACCGGTATTGCGAATATCTTCAAACATTTTCTGCAGTAGCTCTTCATTTTGCAAGCCAGCTTTCATAAACTTGGTGCATCCTGGTATATCCTACATGACATGGCATTATAAAATGGTTTAGAACAATTAATTTGGCACAATAGTTATCAATTTAACACAATATTTTCAACTACTTACTCCTTTCAGTTGCTTCCAATGTTCCACAGTAGCTGTAACAGTTTCCTTTGTGTTATCCCATCCTAATCCTGTTTGAGATGTCAACTTTTTCCAACAATTGTACTCAACCCTATGCTTATCCCACTTATTCTTAATTTGAAGTCTAGTGTACCTTAAACCTGTTCTTACTGCAAATTTCTCAATGACTTCATTATACCCAGGATTAGATAAATGGGTATTTGGACGATTAGCCGCAGCTACTTGCTCAACAAAAATCTCACAGACAACTCTAGTGTTGTAGTCATTCCAATCAGCAGAGTCCATGGGCATTTTAACACCCTTCGAAGGCACATTTTGAGCCATGCCTGTCATCCACTCACTCACACCAATCTTTTTTTCAATACTAACATATATCATAGGTTCAAATTTACTACTAAACATATATCATAGTTACTACCCATACATGACATGAGCAGAAATTAAAGGTATACAAATCAGTTTATTTTGCAAGATAACATGAGCTAGCAGCACGAAAGTGACATGAGCAAAAATGAAATGAGCCAGCAGTAGAGTACATGGACATATCCTTGTGCTTCAACAATGATTAAAGGAGCCAGGCAATCAAAATGCTCATGAACAGCACCACACAAAATTTTTTTTAGGCCCTTGTGACATACAAGGGTGGTAAAGAACAGCAACAGAGGCTCAAAAAGGAAATCTTGCACACAGTGGTAAAAGGAGATCTTGCACACAGTGGTTTACTAGGGTTTAGGATACCTTGCACACAGATCTGGAGAAATACTTGCAAACCGCCACTGTCACCGTGATCCAAACCCTGCCGCCGTCACTGTGCTGCGTCCACACCGAAAAACGCTGTCGCCTACACACCAAAAGTTTCTGTCACCTCGAGAGAGAAGGGAGGGAGAGGGAGCAGCGGCACTGCCGCGCGCTGAGAGGAGAAGGGAGGGAGAAGGGCGCTCTACCGCCGTGCGCCGAGAGGAGGAGGGAGGGAGCAGCGCGCTGCCGTGCGCCGTCGCAGTCGCCGCCGCGTCGAGGAGGCAGTCACCGCCGCCTCACTCGTCTCCCCTCTCTCCTTTCGCGATAAGGCCCGAGGGAGACGGCTGGATGAGAATGCCCGAACCGGTTCGGCTGGATAGGGTAGTGCGATGGCATTTTCTTGTAAATTCGACGAAAGGGGATGGGTGGCGCTGTAATTATTTTCGGAGTGGAGCTGTGGAGCCACGTTTTGGCCGCTCCATCTCGCTAGTACAAATTGTTGGAGCAATTCATCCCGCTCCGCTCCAAGTTTTGGTGAATCTAGACCGTTCGTCATAGCTCCGGCTCCAGGTAAGTTGGAGTTGGGAGCTAGTGCTGTGCCAAACGGGGCCTTAATATCTTGTTCTAACTAGCATTGAAATGTATATAAAGTGGTATGCATTATTTCAATTAGTATGCAGCACTTGGAACATCATTCTGTCAACGCAAATGATGAAATATTTTCTTCATTTGCAAGAGTGACCCAAGTTGCCAACTAGTGTATAATACTATCACCAATATGTCACATGATAAACTATTTGACTAACAACCATAAGTACTATCATCATGCATTATTTCAATCAGTGTGCCGCAGTTGGGAGAGACTTTGCATCGTTCAGTCAACGCACTAATCAAGTATTTGCTTCTTTTACAAGAATGACCCAAGTTGTCAGCTACTAATATACTGTCAGTAATTAGTAGAAGTATGTTCACCTGACAAACTATTTGACTACTAATAACAACCAAAGTGCTTCAATTCCTTTCCATCACATCAACCTGTCATACATACACAACTTTTCGAGGCAGTCAGTTTACTTCAAATTTTTGGAAGAAACTTCAGGAAGAGATGGGTTCTAAGCTGAACTTTCGTACTGCTTATCATCCGCAGACAGACGGACAAACCGAAAGGGTGAATCAAATTTTGGAAGACATGTTGAGAGCTTGTGCTCTAGATTTCGGTGGAAGTTGGGATAAGAATCTACCTTATGCAGAATTTTCATACAACAACAGTTATCAAGCTAGTCTTCAGATGGCTCCTTACGAAGCACTATATGGTCGGAAGTGCCGCACTCCGCTTTTGTGGGATCAAACGGGAGAACGTCAGGTTTTCGGAATGGATATCCTAAGGGAAGCAGAAGAAAAGGTAAAGATCATTCAAGAAAGATTGCGTGTGGCTCAGTCTCGTCATAAGAGTTATGCCGACAATCGCCGCAGAGATTTGAGTTTTGAAGAGGGAGATTATGTGTATCTTCGTGTCACGCCTCTTCGAGGAGTTCATCGTTTTCATACCATGGGAAAATTGGCACCGCGTTTTGTGGGACCTTATAAGATTGTCAGTAGAAGAGGAGAGGTTGCTTATCAGTTGGAGTTACCTCAATCTTTGGCAGGAGTACATAATGTGTTCCATGTGTCGCAATTGAAAAAGTGTTTAAGGGTACCTACCGAAGAAGCTAATATTGAGCAGATAGAGGTCCAAGAGGATTTGACTTATATTGAGAAACCAATCCGTATCCTGGAAACAAGTGAGAGAAGAACCAGGAATCGAGTTATCCGTTTTTGCAAAGTCCAATGGAGTAATCACTCGGAAGAAGAATCAACTTGGGAACGAGAAGATGAATTGAAGTCAGCTCATCCGCACCTGTTTGCCAGTTCTTCCGAATCTCGAGGACGAGATTCTGTTTAAGGGGGGTAGGTTTGTCACACCCTGAAAATTCAAAATATATAAATTGTTGTTTAAATGGAATTTCTAGAATTTATTTTAAAAAGTCTTGAAGAGAAGATCTAAGTTTAATTAATAAATTCCAATATAAAATTGGGCCAGATAAAATTTCATTAAATACTTTGCTTAATTCTATAATTCCTAGATTTTTCTGGGATTTATTTGAGCTAAGGAAGTATTTTTAATAAATGGAATTGCATTTAAGAAATAATTTAAATTGAAAAAGTTTTAAAAAGTCTTCTTTTGGCTTTGGGCCGAAAGTCGGCCCAAAACCGTTCTCTCTCTCCTCGGCCCAGTCCGGCCCAGTCCGCAGCCGCCCGCGCGAGCGCGCTGTCGCTGACAGGTGGGGCCCACCCGTCAGTCGTCGTCTACCTTCGGCCGCCGCCGCCCGAAACCCTAGTTTCGCGCCGCCGCCGTTTCCTTTCCAAATCCGGCCGCTCCTTTCCTTCTCCGGCCGAATCAATAGAGGGGAAATGATCTCCGGGATCTCCTCTACCTTTTCTCCTTTGGAATCTTTGGTTAAATCGCTTTGGAAAGCTTTGGAATCGAGTTCGATTCGGATCGGTTTTCCCTCTCTCCAAGCCGAAGGTTTCCTTCGCCGTTGCCGTCGCCGTGGGCCTTCGCCGCCGCTTCCGAGCCCCTTTAAAAGGATCCCCGTGCTCTTCTCTTCTCGCCGCCACCCTCGCCTTCGCCTCTCGTCGCCGGAGTAGCCCTAGCGCCGTGTGCCCTAGCTTTGTCTTCGCCGCCGCCGCTCCAGCCGTGCGCCGCCGTCGTTCCAGCCGTCGCCGTCGCTCGGGAAGGCCGCCGTCGTCGTCGCCAAGTCGTCGCCGTCCTCGTCCGCTCTTTCGCTGCCGTCGGAGACCGCCGGAGCATCGTCGCCGTCGTCAAGCCGAAGACCGCCGCCGTTTCAACCTCGTCGCCGTCGCCGTCCGTTGGTCGTCCGCCGTCGCTTTGGTCGTCGGTGAGTTCGCCGTGCCGTCCGCTACCCGTTGGTGTCCTCCGTTCGTGCCGTAGCGCCGCCGTTCGCCGGTGAGCGTGCGCCGCCCGAGCCGACCCAGCTGCCGAGCCGCCGCCGCCGTCGGTGACGTCACCGCTGGCGTCATCAAGGCCGTCCGCCGTGAACCGCCGTGGACCCGATCGATCTCGGCCATCCGATTTGGATCGGATCAATCTCGGCCGTCCGTTCGTGTGAACCGCCGCCCATGCGCCGGTCCACCCAAACCCTAGCCCGCTGACGCAATAAATCCCCTTTTCCTTTTCAAAAATAATTCATTATTGCGTCATAATTCAATTTAAACCGATTTAAGTGTTTTAATCCGATTTAATCTTTAAAAATTCATAACTAATTCATCTTAGCTCCGATTTAGTTGGTTCAAGTCTCTAAATTTTTCTAAAATTGAGATCTACACATTAAAAATATCCACATGTACTGTTCATGTTTGTTTAAGTGCTGTTTTGGTGATTTTGCTCTTTTCTGCTTAGATTCCGTCGTTACCGGAGAGTCCGTTTTCGCGGAAGAAGAGTTTGAAGAGTTCCAAGGCCAGCAAGGCAAGTCACACAGATCCCAAACAACCCTTTGAGCATGTTGATCCTATTTAAAGCTATGGTTTCTATTCAACTATTGCATCTATTTTCGAATGTCATTGGGTGGAATTAACCTATTGATTGTTATGGCCCTTTTGTACATTGATTACCTTATTCCTTGATACCTTGGGTTATTACAATTTGACTAGTTGAGCTTTATTTATATTGGTTCAACTAGATATTAGATATAATTGCTTAGCCCTGCTTAGAAACATTAGTACACTTATGGGATAACTAATGACTCACTATTATTTCATGATGGCTTATTGATAGTTCACGATGGTCAATCGTGATTAGTTAATTAATTAATGTGCCAACTAAAACCTGGTAATGGTGGGTTGTGAGCACATGGTTTTGATGGTCGTGCTCATGGCAATTAAGGACCGGTTCACGAGTTTCGGTTGTGAAACATTTATCGTGCCAACCACAAGCCAGCATGGGCAACGGCTTTATCTTTTGTATAGCATGGTTCATTGCGGGGCACCAGACTGAGAAGTGGCGGAGATAAGCCCACGGGGGTCGCTGGGGAGTCCATGCCTTGTTTATAAGGGGGTGATTATGATCCAGGAAGGTGCGCTGCAGTGGATTGTGTTATGCGAGGGGTATTGTCACAACTCCTTTCCGAGATACCGTGGTGGTATTGAGGCACATGGTGACATGATGTGGGGTTGTGTCTTGTGGGTACAGTGGTACACCTCTGGCCAGAGTAAAACTATTCGAATAGCCGTGCCCGCGGTTATGGGCGGGTCTAACAATGTCTTTCGTGATTAGTCTCACACCTCTCATCATTGTAAAAGATGCTATAACTGGTAATAATTTGATTAGCTCCTGGTTTGGAATGGTACATTCCTGGTTTGGAGATAGAACTGTGCAGCCGGGGTGGTTGTTCAGAATGGTTGGGCCTATACAACAGGGTATGTTGTATAGCGTTGGATTAATATTGTTTAATTATTACTTAACTGTTTTGTTAAATTCTCAAATGTTTGCTAAATGCTGCTTTTGCAAATGGAACCCTATTATGCCATCCTTTGTTATCCTGTGCACTTGCATATTTGCTGCGTGGCTTGCTGAGTATGTCATATACTCACCTTGCAATCATTCATCAGAGGAAGAGTTCTACAATGAGGCTGATGGTGTGGAGGATTAGGTGTAGCCTTGGTCAAGCTGCCTGTGGAGTGGAGCCGTCTGCGCCGTTTATTTAATTTCCGCTGCTTAGAACTTTATTGATTGAGAGGAACTATCTACCTCTGTAATGACATTTTATTCGCTTATTAATTAGAGTAATATTTGTACTCTATTATCAATTTGTTATTGTGTGCCTCGGCTGATTCCTGGACGAGGGTTCACACACATGTAAGCGTTTGGAATTTTGGATAGAAATTCCGGGCGTGACACAAACAAAGTGATACAACCCATAAATTGTTCACAATTAAATTTAACCCATACAAACATATGTCTCAAACACATGATAGTTCTGAAATGCATTGACAGAACTTGATTAAAGGGATACAATTCATAGCCACACCACATTCAACTAATTTCCGTACTTCACTTCATACTTCTTCTTAAGCCATGCAAAGCAACCTGCAGGAGTGCACAAAGAATTAACAAACATTTCCCTTTGATCCTTCTTGATAAATATTTCAGTTGCAATGAAATGTTCATTTGTCCCTTCAACAGCACAACATTCCTCCACCAAGGCCATAACATCCTTTATAGAACAACCCGGAGGATCCTCTCTTGTTTTAGTGAAGGACTGAATGGATGACAAAGTCTGTGCAGAGAGTTCATTACTCTTGGACATCTCCTCTACCATCTTTTGAGATCCACTCTTGCTCTTTTTGGACTTATCCACCTTTGAGCCACCACCTCTCTTTCGTTTTGCACTTGGTTCATCATCCTCCGTCTCTTCATCAATCTCATTATCATCAGCAATATGAATTGCCTCATTGGTGGGTGTTGGTATGGTGCTTTGCCCTAAAGACCAATGGTCGGCACCGGTATTGCGAATATCTTCAAACATTTTCTGCA